CACCACCACCACCACCACTGTCGTCCTCGTCGACGCTCCCCGCCGCCGCCGTCGCCCGCCGCCGAAGGCGCCGGCGCCGGCCCAGAAAAGAAAACCGTCGTCCACGCCGCAGCTGCCAGCCGCCGCCGACGCAAGCGCCGGCCCGAGGAGAGAGGAGAGGGAGGGAAAGGGGGGACGGGTTCGAACCCCCCTCCTTCCGTCACGGGAAGGGGAGGGGGGGGTTCGAACCCCCCTCCCCCCGCCATCCAGGGGGTGGAGGGGGGGTCCGGTTCCAAACCCCCCCCTCCCCCTCCAAGCGACCACAGAACGCGCTCTTTCGGACCTCTGGGGCCCACGCATCCAAAAGATTGGAGCAGCAGGATGTCAGGGAATCGAAAATCTCTGAGATCCGGCGGCTCTGGAGGAGATCTCGGGCGCCGCGGCCTTCTCAGAGCGTTCCAGAACGCTCCGAGAGCGCTCTGGAACGCTCTGGAACGGATTATCCTCGTCGTAGTCCCGTCCGATCTCCGGATATTATTCTAAGGGACCCCCCTTATACAAATTCGGCCCTGGGCGCTCTCACCGTCCGAGCGGGCCCAAGGTCGCTTCCTGAACGGTCCCACGGAGCACCACTTAGGGCCAAGACCGCTTCAAAAACAGCCCGAGAAAGGCCCGAGAGCGCCCAAGAGACCCCGAGGCGGCCCAATACGGTCTCAAGACGGCTCGCGAGGCTTCCCCAGGCGCCCCAAAAGGCTCCTAAGAGGATCCCTGAAAGGACTTGAGGCCAAAAACCTTGATGTTCCTATAGTTGTTGAAAAGATTTTGGGATCCCCGTCTCTTCGGGCAAAGAGCGTCCCAAGACGGCTTTGACAGCCTGCGAGATCGCAACAAGACGGCCCAAGAGGCCCCCAAAACACCTCTAGACAGCCCAAGGGGGTCCCTAGTCAGCCCCAGAGCGCCCCAAGCTCGCCCAAGAGTGCCCCGACACGGCCCGAGAGGGCCCAACAAGGCCCCCAATGGGGGCCTCCAGTAGATCCAGAAGACGGTCAAAGCCCAGCAAGACAGCCCAGAAGGGCCCCAGGACGGCTCAATAGGGCTGGAGATCTTATCAACATGGCTCTAAAAGGACCCCCGCAAAGGCCCAGAGAGGCATTTCCGAGGCCTCCAGGAGGCTCGCCAGGAACCTCGAAATACCCTTGCCCGGGTCTTCAGATGAGGTGTTCGGGTGTTGGTTTTGCGGCATTCGGGTGTTCAGGTTTTGGTGTTAGGGATCGGGCATCCGGGTCATAGTGCTCGGGTTGGGGTGTTCGGGTTTCAATGGTTGAGTTCGGTTTGGGACGTCAGGGTTAAAGTGTACGCTACGGTGTTAGGGTTCTGGCGTTCGGGTTGGGACGTTGTTCGGCCCCACGATAGCCCCAATATGCCCACCAAGAGGGCTCCAGATGTCAAAATGAATCGATGCTCGTATCATATATTTTGGTGCATATCACACGCTGAACTCCCTCTCCTCCTCCTGCTGGTCATCCCCCATACCCTAGAAAAAGAATGAGAACAAGAAGAAGAAGAAGAGGAAGAAGAAGTGACGACTTACACATAAACATCTGGCGCTCCGCGCGGATTTGTTGGGTCTGCGCCGGGGGCGCCGCCGGGGGGGGGGGGGGGGGAGCGCAGATCCAAGAAACCCGCGCGGAGCGCCAAACATTTATGGCTGTGGCGTTGTTTCTGCTCCGGTAACCCGCCCCGTCGCGCTGCAAACTGGCCCCAGGATCTCCCCCAGGGCGCGTCCTGACCAAAGGATCTCGGGGCGGGCCCGGCCGGGGGGGGGGGCACGTGGCGCCCGCAGGAACGCCAGGGCTTCCGATGTTCCTGCCTGCTGCAGCCTCGACCGCCAGAAAAGGCATGTCGAGCACCAGGGAAGCATCGGCACTGCAGGGTGTTCACGCGTCGGGCCCGGGGCGGCGATGCTCGTTGGGCACTTCGCCAGCGCGTCGGGCAGCGCGTCGGGCAGGCACTGCTACGATACTCTTCGGGGTGCTCGAAATTGTTTCTGGGAGGTGGTCCTCAAGTGCGACGGGGCGGAGGAGGGGGAGGAGGACGAGGAGGAGGACGAGGAGGAGGAGGTGAGGTGGAGGAAAGGAGGACAGGAGGACGAGAAGGAGGAGGAGGAAGAGCAGGAGGAGGAGGAGGAGGAGAAGGAAGACGAGGAGGACGAGGAGGAGAAGGAAGACGAGGAGGAGGAGGAGGAGAAGGAGGAGGATCGAGGAGGATCGAGGAGGAGAAGGAGGAGGAGGATCGAGGACGAGGAGGAGGAGGAGGAGGAGGATCGAGGAGGAAGGAGGAGGAAAAAGGAGGAGGATCGAGGAGGATCGAGGAGGAGGAGGAGGAGGATCGAGGAGGAGGAGGAGGAGGATCGAGGACGAGGAGGAGGATTCCTCCTCCGCCCCATCCTCCAGGTCACCACCGCGCCCGGGCGCCGCGCGCCTGCCGCGTAGACCGTGCCAACCCTGCCGCAGGGCGCCTCGCCCTGGCAGGGCGCCGCCGCTTTGCTCCCTCTCTGCCGCCGCTGCACCCTCCTCCTCCTCCTCCTCCTCCTCCTCCTCCCTCCTCCTCGATCCTCCTCCTCCTCCTCCTCTCCTCCTCCTCCTCTCCTCTCTCCTCCCCCTCGTCCCTCCTCCTCTCCCACCTCCTCCTCCTCCTCCTCATCGACCTCCTCCTCCTCTCCTCCTCCTCCTCCTCGTCCTCCTCCTCCTCATCGTCCTCCTCCTCGTCCTCCTCCTCCTCCTCGTCCTCCTCCTCCTCCTCCGCCTCCTACTGCTGGCACTGGCGGCGTTTTCGGCTCCGTCTCGGGCCCTGGGGCCCAAACGGATCGATGCGGCTCGAAGAATGAAGCAGAAGGGCTGGGTCGAGAGCTCCGGTTGTGATATTTCCCGGCGTCGCGTGTTGCTTCGGGACGGCGGATCTCAAGGACCCGGGACAAGCGCGCACTTCGCAGTCTTCGAGCATATCCGGGACGGCGAGCCGAGGGGCGAACGCCTACGTCGGCCTGCAGCTCGGAGGAAAGGACACAAGGCCGAAATTGTGGTGACCCCCGTGTCCCCCAATTCATCTGGAACCAGATCTTACACTGCAGTGGAAACAAGGTTTAGGTCGGGCATGTCCCCCTACAGGCAGATTATCGACGAAAAATAAGACATACTCGAAAAATCCGCCGACCCTGTGGGCGTGTGGACGCATCCGTTGTCCTCTTTCACTGCGTCTCCGTCGTCCCCTTTCCCTGCACCCTCCTCTTCGAGCCTGCCAGCGAGAGAAAACCGTAGCAACGTCGCGCTTAAGTTGAAGGGAAACCCCTTCCCTTTGATCCCTCCCCCGCCGGGGAGGGGGGGGAGTCCCAGGGGGGGATCCCGGGGGGCTCCCGGGGGGGGGAGGGGGGGGGGTCAGATACGCGTCCGCCCCTGGGCGTCCCAGAGCCCAAAGAAGCGCCAAGACGCGCCAAGAGTGCCCTAAGATGCCCCCAAGAAGGTCCAAGAGGGCCCCAATAGGCCCCCAAGAAGGCCCCGAGACAGCCCAAGAGGGCCCCAAGACGGCCCAAGAGAACCTCAAGACAGCCCAAGAATGCCCCAAGAGGGCCCCAAGCAGGCCCAAGAAGAGGACCACGAACCGACATTTCGAGCTTCCCGCCCCAAGAAGCCCCCCGAAGGCCCCAAGAGCCCCTCAAGGGGCCCGAAGAGGCCCCCAAGAGATCCCCAAGAGGCCCAACAGAGGACCCAACAGGCCCGAAAACATCCAAGAGGCGTTTCAACCACAACCCCAGCACGGTGGCGGGAAGGGCCGCAAGCCACAAGGCTCCCTGTCTGTCTCTGCTACGACTCCCTCGGCCCACATGGGGAACATCTCCTTCGCCTTCCCCTGCTCCTTTCCACCTTAATCCCCCTCCTTCTCCTCCTCTTCCTCCTCCTCCTCATCCTCTTCCTCCTCCTCCTCCTCCTCATCCTGATCCTCGTATTCGTCGTCGTCTTCAGGGTCGGCGGCACCGGCCGTAAGGCCTTAGCAATATTCAAACATGCTCAAACAATAGCCCCAAAGTCGTCCCCGCATTATTTTTGTTTTCGACAGTGTTTGAATGTTCCTCATGTGGAGGGACAGGCCCGACTTAATCTTACATGCTTCAAAACTATGTAGAAGTATTCCTCCTGTAGAGGGGCAGGCCCGACTTAAGCATGGGCCCCATCGCCGAGAGCCCAAGGCCCCGTGGAGATATCCCAAACGAAGGGCGCTCCAAGGTGGAGAGCCCCACGGCGAAGAGCACGAGGGGTGACCCTCCCAAACTACGCGTTCTCTTAACGGAGGGGCGACGATCGGGGGGGGGGATAGGCATAGGGGGTGATGCATAGACACGGGGTCGGCGATACATCGCCGATAGATGAGCGATGGGCGCCCGACGGCGAATCCTAACCTTCCTGGGCGGGTCGGGGCTATCGGGCCCCTATCGGCGATCCATGGGCGATTGGGGATCGATGCATCCCCCCCTACGCCTATCCCCCCCTATTGTCGCCCCCGATGAACCCTCGTGCCAGCTGTAGCGTCTTTAGTTGACGTGTCGAGAGAGGGGTGAAGAGGTGTAGGCTCTTTCCCCGGCGTGGGGGCACGCATAGTCTACCCATGGTTGGTGATATCCAGGCACCGGTTCTAGCCGCATGGTGAGGATATTACGCTGGCGTCTGTATGTGTCGGTGGTGTGGGGTGCAACTTGCGAAGCCAGCGACTTCGATATACATGTAAACATATATAGATATAGACGTACCCATGAAAACCACATAAGGCCGCACATGATCATGATTCTGCTCGCGCGCGAATCTGCTCGCCCCCTCGCGCAGGGCTGGTGGGATGCTGGGGAGCGGGCTGTCCAACACCTACGGCGACAACCCTTTTACCGCTGCTGACCGCAACTCCTCCAAAATCTCCGTGGACTCACCCCTTCCCGCGTATCTCTCTGTCTGCTGTTTTCACCTCTTTCTTTTTTTCACCTCTCTCTCTATTCCTCTATTCCTTCGTCTGTTGCTGTCTCCCTCTCTTCCTCTTCCTCTCTTCTTCTCTTCCTCTGTTCTGTCTGCCTGTCTGTTGTTTTGACCTCTCTCTCTCTCTCTCTCTCTCTCCTCGTCCATTACTCCACCCACGCCGTGATCCTTCGGCCATCCCGCCGACCACTTCTCAAATCCTCAAGCACCGCGCCCACTCCCAGCCGATGGGGCCAGCAGAGGATGCGAGCAAACAGAGAGGTGGAAGAGCTGACAGAAAGCTCCATATGGAAACATCTCCCTGCGCCGCGCGCCTTCGCAGAAGCAGTGGTGGCGGCGAGCGGGTCGGTGGTGGCCGCTAACGCGTCGTATGACGGCATCGGGCTCATGGCTGGCGCCAGCGGGTCCTGTAGCGCGGGACTGACGCATGTCAAGGTGCACGGAAGGGGAAGCTCGCATAGAGAGAGGGCGAGCTTACAGAGAGAGCGAGAGGAGGGGAGAGAAAGAGAGAGAGAGAGAGAGTGACAGACTCGGCCAAGAGCCAGCAGAGCGAGAGAGAGAGAGAGACAGAGAGAAAGAGAGAGAGAAGGAGACACACTGAAAACAGATAATGAGCGAGAGAGAGAGAGAGACAACAAAAAACTATAGAACGATGGAACATACTTTGGACAGAACGAGAGAGAGACAGAGAAAGAAAGAGAAAGAGGGAGAAAAGAGAGAGAGATAGAGATGTACAGAAGAGAGGTATAGGCGATGAATCAAGAAGGAAGCCGAGAGGCTGAGAGATGGCGAGGCAGGCCAAGAAGACAACACAAGGGATGGACGAATCAGGGCAATGCAGGTCTCGGCGTGACTGGGCAGAACAGATGGAGAAGAGAGATATTCAGATAAAGGCGGAGGGGTCGCATATTCGCAAGAGAGAGAGGGAAAGAGAGAGAGAGAGAAAGAGGAACAAGCAGAAGAAAACGAGAGAGAACAACACAAACACGATGACGGGGAGGATGAGGTGGACAAGGAGACGAGCGCATCGAGGAGGCAGGAGGAGGACGCCGGCCAAGCGAGACGGAAGAGCAGCAAGCTGACAAGGCACCGACCGGACATGAGCGGGGCCGTTCGGGCAACGCCCTGTGCAACGGCACCCCGGCCCCAACGAGCATGGCACTGGGCGCCAGGCTCCGTGAGCGTGCTGGGCCGCATGTTGGGAAGACTACGCACCTACGGCCACAGTCCGAGGACCGACCAGCGGACGCGTGACTCTATGGGCGGGACATGTGCCACCACGGCCTGACCTCGCGAACGAAGCCAGGTCTCAGCATCACAACAGCGCACACAGGAGAAACACACGCACACACATATGGAGAGAACGGTATTTGCTCAAGGGAGAGGGAGATAGCAACATATACATATATACGTATATATATACATGTAGAGAGAGAGTGCGAGGTGTAAACGTAGAGCGATAGGTAGAGGAGAGAGAAAACCACCGACACACGTATATATACACATATATATATATATAGAGAGATCGATAAACTATGAGCAGGGATAGAAGGGGGGAAATAGAGAGAAAGAGAGAGAGAGAGAGAGAGAACGAGAGAGAGAGAGAGAGAAAAAACGATAAATAATACATAATACGAGAGGGAGAGAGAGCAAACTCAGACATCGAGAAAAAAGAGGGAGAGAGAAGGAGCGAGAGAGCCGAGGAGAGATGATGTGGAGACGAATCATAGCATGCCTCAGCGCGCATGCCGACGCCAATCGACCATCGAATGCAGATTGATCAACTGTGTTCCTGCCCCCCCTTCCCTTGCCACCCTCCTTCTGTCCTCTGTCCCTGGGAAAGACATGGCGTTGGAGCTGCTTGCTCTGTGCTGCGGGTCCGCCATCGCGCGCCGCGTGCAGTAGCTGATCATGGTGACTATGTTGTCTACATGCCAGACCACCCCAACCTGACCCGAAGATCCCCAATCTTGGGTTCTGAGGGGGGGATGCGGGTCCCATGCGCCTCGTCCTCGTTCCCCGACCCCCCCACACACACAGGAAATGGAGGGCAGCTTGAGGCCTCAGGGTTGGGGTTGGGGTGGCCCGGTGGGTGGTGATCTGTGTGCACTCGCAGCGCCCGAGGCGGCCTGCAGCTGCAGGCTGGGCCACGACCGCAGAGCCCCGTGGCGCTGCGGACCCCGCCCGCGCCGCGCGGGCGCGGGGCCCGGGCCGCTGCCGCCCGGCCAGGGCGGGGCGCGGGCGCGGGCGGGGCTCAACGGGAGACTCTTCGGCACGGCACGGCTCGAGCCCGCCGTCTGCCCCGCTCGAGCAGGGGCTCCGACCGGCGCCCGAGAGGTCAGCACGGATGTTTGTTGTTTCTGCTTTGCTCTTCGACGGCGACTCGGCTGCGCGGAGACGCTAAATATCGATCTGCGACGAAATGCACGCAGTAGGAGCTCAGCTGCCCCAGTACGCAACACGCGACAGGTAGCGTGTTGACACGGAGCTCATCAGCGCGAAAAGTCAAAACGGAATGTTCACCGCGAAGATATGGCCAGATCCACCGCTTCGTGGTCGGGCCCGCTGACCTCGAGGGAGTGGCGGGTATGGATGCCAGCCTGCCCCTGGAGGTGGGAGAACATCCACATCCACCGCTCCTCGGGGTCCACAGGCACGACTCCGAAGCAGTGGATGTGGCCACATTCGGGCAGTGGAGAAAAGGCTGGCACATCGATCGGAGACGTGTCGATTCGCAGGCTGAGACCACGAGGTGGTCCCACGATGAGCTCTGCCCGGGGAGGCGAGACGCAGCCGCCAGAGCATGAGGTCGGCGACGTCTTGGGCGAGCAACGTGCTCTCTACTAACCAACCTCGAACGTATCCCTATCCCTAAGATGGGCGAGCAAAAAGCGAGGACAATCTTAGGGATAGGCCCTCAAAAACTGAGGGAATCCTTAAGATCGGCATCGAGGTGAGGTGATGTCAAACACAGGGATAGGGATATGTTCCAGGCTGGTAATCTACTGCATCCCTGCCAAGAACTGCCCTCGGCGGTGCCACGGTGCCGACACGCCACACCTTTCTCGGTGCTCGCCGCAAGCACGGGCGGCCCCTGCGGAGCTCGCCGTGGCGACCCTCCCGGCCACACTGACAGCCGTTCCGCGGCGGGCAGGTGGCCCTCGTGACTCCCAGACGCGGCTACAGGTAGCCCGCAAGGTGACAAAGGCATCGGGCACGCCAGGCAGCCTGAGCGTATCGTCAGGTCGGTCATGTCCTCCTACGGGCGGATTCTGAAAGAAAAATGGCGGATAGCCAACAAATATTCAAAAATGATTAAAATAACATAAAAATCGTCCCCATCCTTTTTCCTTAACAATTTGGTGACCTTCCCCCTGTAGAGGGACATGCCCGACTGAAGCGTGTATCGGCGTCTGCCTCCTAACGGCTGCGTGCGGCCCGCGCGATCGTCACTTCCGTGGCGTCCGTGCTGGCGCCGTGGCATCCGCAAAAAGCGGTCGTCGTCGCCAACGAGGGAGCCAGCGCCGAATCGACACCCTGGACTTGCCGATGGTGACGCCTCAAGGCCAATAAGCAGCAGGAGTGGGCCGGCTCGCTTCCAAGAGATCAGATGACGCGGTTCTGTTCTACAAATGACCCCGCACACGATCTGGACATCTTCCTGGGGACTGGTTTTCCACCCCGAGTCGTTGCTTGACCGCCCCCCGAAACCAGACATTGCCAAAAACCTTCCGTCGTTATTTTCTTCACGACTTGAGAGGATGCTTGGGTTCGGGTTCACGGCGCTGCCGACGTGGTTGGCTACAACACCACCGTCTGGCTCGAACCCACACATCTCTTCATCCGCGCTCCCAGCAGGTGCAAAAATAGGCCCGCTGAGCACCTCAACGCAAGAGTTAGTGACTATGACATCTGCTTGCCAAAAACGACGTGGGAACTATGCGCCAGATGGCAACAGCCGAGATAGAAATACACACATAAAGGGAGAGAGAGAGAGAGAGTGAGAGAGAGAGAGCCATGAGAGAGAGAGGGAGAGAGAGAGAGGGAGAGAGAAACAGAGATAGAACAAAGAGAGAGAGAGAGAGAGACCTCTCTCTCCTTTCTATGCGTATAAAAGTCTACGCGCGAAAAGCACGAGAAAACGAGAGAGAGAGAGAGAGAGAAAGCGAGACAGAGCCACTGCGAGAGAGAGAGAGAGAGAGACAGGGAGATAGTTAGAGGGAGAGAGATAGAGGAAGGGAGAGACGGAGCCCCCCTCCGAGAGGCACATGGCCTCCAGTATCACATGCTTGGCGCCGCATGATTACGTGCCGAAAGAGACAGGGAGCATGCAAAACAACGCGCCTCATCCATGTCGGGCTGACTAGCCGCGGCGCTAGATGCCATGGGTGCCTGAGGAACGGGCAACGGCGAAACCGAGATGGGATAGTTGATAGGTGGTGGTGGTGGGTTGGATTGAGGAGCGCCAGGAGGACGAGGAGAGACACGGGGAAACATGCGAGAGAAGGCGACGAGGAAGGAGGAGGCCGATTAAAGAAAGGGGGAGGAGGGAGAGTCAAGAGCCATGTGCTCAAGTCTGGAAGGCGCGACTGGCTCAAGCTTAATGCTAAAGCCTGCTGCCGCACGTATCCTTCTGCGCATGCTCTGGGGCTGGACCCCCACATGGCGTTCTCGCTTGAACGCCGATGGACGGAATATCCACGGGTGTCCGCGGGATTATCTTCCCCGACTTGGGCATCTGTTACCCTACTGCTGTTCTCGTTACTGGTGTCTATGAACGTATGGGTTGTGCGCTAACCCAATAACTGCAGCAGCTGTTCCCGATCGTGTTGGTGCTGGGGGAAACTGCTTCCTGAGCGCGCACGTCATGCTTGCAATCGAAAATCCAGAGGAATCGCTTATGTTGTTTTTGAGGATATGCGTCGTGGGATTGTGCACCCTATGCTTTATGCTACCTCTAGTGCTCGTATTGTGATTGTGCGTGCCCGTTGTAATCAGGTTCATGGTGTCGTTGTTTGGTTTGGTGGTTAATCTTGTAGTAATTGGAGGCATTGCATCTGCCTTGGGATTGCTGAGGCGTTTTCGACTAAAGTTCGTCTTCGCGTCCATCATCTGAGGCAGAGTCTGTCCTTGCATGGCCTGTTTGATCAAGCTCCCAGTCCTGGGGAGGAGGATAAAAAAGAAAAGAAAGAGGATGAGAAGAGATGCACGAAAGGGAGGATGTAGAGGAGGATGCGGGTCACGAAGACGGATGTAGAGGGGAGAGAAAGACGGAGAAACATGGACAGTGGTGGAGCAGAGGAAACATTGTTTTGAAGATGGGGGCCGGATTCCGAGGGCCTCTGACATCCTCGCGTCGTGAGCAACCTCACGACGCACAGACGTAACAAGTTTCTGGGTATCATTTAACCGATCCCCATCCCCAGCGGCGTGGCCTGGGCCCCTTTGGCCGACTTACCCCCCTAGATGGGGATATAGGCCGTTCCCTTCGGGTTTCGAGGGGTGTATCCCCAACTGGGGGGGTAATTTGGTGGGGGCCTCGAAGGGGATGGGGATGGGGATGGGGATCGGTTGAACGATACTGAGTTTCGGCCTCAAGGGAACTTCGACCGGGCCCAGGGGCGTTGAGTCAGGCAACGTCTCGCGATCCAGAGCCGGTCCCTGGGTGGAGTCCACACCTCCAGGGAAGAACGCTGCGATAAGAACGCGGCGTCGTATGTCTGGGGAGTACACTCGACCAAGATAGTAAGGATGCGCGGTAAGGATGCAAGGGCCTTGGAACGCCATGTTGACGTTTTCCGTGTGGAGCGCAGCAGAATGCCGAAGGATGCCGAATACCGAAGGGGCAGGGATGCAAGGGTAGCCTTGGTAAGTTGCCCCATCCTTACTATCATGGTTGACTGTACTCCTGGTTCTGGGTTCACGAATGTCCAACCTTGAAATTTCGGAGGGCGCAGCAGGAGACGTGGCAACTGCTGTCTTCAAGCAGCTTCCGAAGAAGCAACAACGACTGAACGCTGGGGCATGGCTCAAGGTCGAAAGAAAACGACTGCTCTGAGATAGAAAGCTCGCGTGGAAATTCGAAGCCTGGGGTGTATGATGCATCTTTCGCTAAATGTACGGTGCCGAAGCGTCGTTCGGTAAGACTGCACGTGAACTGGACGGCTACTACGCATACGCAGGTGCACGGGCGGCTGGAGGACCAGCTCGAGCAGCCGACTGATTCGTCGACAGACGCGAATCGGGAAGAGCACGAGATTCGGGGGGCGGGCAGGGGGAACGGAGGGGCCCGGAAGCACTGTCACGCTTGCCAGCTGGACTCGCACCGCGGTCAAGATGATCGGCGGTGTTGTTGCTTGATTGAATTTGGGCTCCAGATTCGCGCCGTGAGTTGCAACATCAAAAGGAAGTTGATCAATCTAAGCTTAGGTCGCGCATGTCCCCCTACAGGCGGATTTGGGACGGGGCATAAAAAAATCAAAACATGCCCCCAACATGAACAAAAATACTGAAATCGTCCCCAGACTGTTTTTTATAACTATTTTTGACTATTCCCCCTGTAGAGAGACAGGCCCAACTTGAATCCAAGTCCCGCAATTCCGGATGTAGGAGTAAGTGGCGTCCGGGCCGCCTTGCTCTGGGCTGCAGGGCTACAGCGCCAGTGTCAAGGAGCCCGACGCCTGCACCGCTCTTCGAAACAGCTAAGCCCGCCGCACGCGTCAGTTGTGGCTGTTGCCAAAGAATGTGGGTACGGTAGAGGGAAACAATTACTGAACACTCCCCCTCCCCCAACTCAATGTTGGCACGCGCGGAAAACACTTCGGTCGAAGTGCATCTCATCAGACTCACCGCCAACTTTGAACATTGGGGGGGGGAGGCGTTGACAGATGAATTTGGCATGAGTGTTCGCTTGTTCCGAAGCCTGTATGTCGCGGGGTCTCGACACCGGCGTGTTGAGACAGTCGAAAACCAATAAGACGGGACACGCCGCAAGCACCGTCAACCTCACAGGCCCCCCGTGAAAGCGTCAGCTATTGAAGGGAAACTGTGCGGATGTGTCGCGAGTTGGCGGCGGGTGCGGTCGGGTCGCAGGCGGGTCGCGGCTGGGTCGCGGTTGGGTCGCTGGGCGGGTCGCGGGGTGGATAGAGGGCGGGACGCGGGGTGAGTCGCGGGGTAGGTCGCAGAGTGGGTCGCGGGCGGCTCGCGGGGCGGGTCGCGGCTGGGTCGCTGGGCGGGCGCGCTAGGTTGTGGTGAAAGCCAATCTGGCACCGTGAATGTGGAGCGAGCTATGTTGTGCACGCTGCGGTGAACGGTGTATGGTGCAAGCAATGTCATGCAATCTACGTGGTGCAACAGGCCTCGGAAAAAATGGTAGCGAACACGCATGCCACATTCATCGGTCAACGCCTCCCCCTCCCCCCAATGCTCAAAGTTGGCGGTGGGTCTGACGAGTTGTGCTTCGACCGCAGTCTCCCCCGCGCGTGCGCACTTCTTGAGCTCGGGGGAGCGGGCGGGCGAGCGTCCACGAACTGCTTCCCCCTGCCGAATCTAGGTGTTGCAAGGATGTACAGTCGGGGCATTGACCTAAGAAAACCCTACATAAGGAACGAGGCCCCTTTTTCCATAAGTTAAACTTCGATTTCCCATCGAGAACGTAAGGAAAACCTGAGGCAAGCTGTGAAACACTTAAGGAACACGGAGCCCCTCCCCAACCAAAAGGGTTCCTTCTTCAGGGCCCCGACTGTGCTGCGTTCTGCGTGTGGCGGGAGCTATGGGGTGCGAGCCGCGTGGCGCGCCCGGCGCACCGGGGCGCCCTCGGGGCGCCCTTCGAGGCGGCCACCGGGCGCAGCCCCGCCAACACCCACCCAGCGCACGGGGCACCGCGCGCACAGGCGGGGCCCGACGGGGCACCGGGCGAAGCCCCGCCACCACCCACCCGGCGCACGGGGCGCCCGCGAGGCGCCGACGCGAGGGCACCAACCAGGCACCAAGCGGAAGAGCGCCACGCCCGTCCAGTGCCCTCTTCAGGCCAAGCAAGAGCCCAGAAGCAAGGTGCAGACACTGCGTGCGGGATCAAGACTCAGTCCGCACCGCAGAAGCTCGTTTCGGCCGCGCACCCAGGGACAGCGCAGGACGGGCTAACTCCACCACGCTGTTAACACTTCAAGGAAGGGTTGAGTGCTGGGTAACGCACCCCTCCCCTTCCCCCCCAACTCCCCTACCCTTGCTTCGCTTCCGCGCTCCTTCGCTTCCTCCTTCGCCTCCTCAACTACTACTCTCTCTGTATCTCGGGCGTCCCTATGTCACTCCGTCCTTCCTTTCATCTCTCCCTAAAACGCGCAACGCGCCTTCACAGAGTTGACTGGGCTCATGGTTGCCATGGTGTTGGCCAACATATCCTGCTCAACAGGGATGACGCAGCTGTGAGCATCGGAAGGGAGACGAGGCAGAGAGAGAGAGACAGAGAGAGAGAGTGAGAGAGCGCAAGAGGGTGGCCATGTTGACCGAACACAGATCCTGTTGCGCGGCATGCACGCAAGTGTGGATTTCTGGAGAAGCGGAAGAAAACGATAGCGATAGAGAGAGAATACGTAGCTAGAGAGAGGGAGAGAGGGAGAGACGTACACACACACATGAAGAAACGGATCTGTACAACAGGAAAGCAAAACAGTGCAACCCAAATAAAGGTAAGCAATACAATGGCAACCTGGACCAAGACAACGCGCACATTGCCAGGACACGACTGCAATATTTGCGCTACGTCCAAAGTCGAGTTGAGTAGACCTACGTTGACTGCGGCCGCGTAGTCCACCATGACAGAAGAATGTAGATTAGTGTCTATTGTAGATCGCAGCCACACACCCAGCCAATCGTGAAGTGGTCCCTCTCAATAGCACATCGAACCAATAAGCTCTTGATCCACCGATATGTTGTGACATTTGACACTTCTGGAGGTGCCAACGGTGAAGGCGGGGACGGTGATGATAACGGCGGCGAAAATCATGCTGACGGCGGTGATGATGACGACGGCAATGAATAACAGATCTGCCTCTCATATTCGCCGCGACGGAACAAACATTGGCCTGGCGAAGGACCCAACCATATGCAGTTGTGAATGCCGCAATTGTGCTGGGTGGTGGCGGACGCATGCGGGCGGTGCCACTGGGACCTGCGGTGGAGCTCCCTATGAGGCCACGAAGCGCTGTACTGGGTGGGTGAGACGCGGTCAGCAAGGGCTGTGCTGCGTGGTGGCGGACGCATGCGAGCGGTGCCACTGGGACCTTCGGTGGAGCTCCCTATGGGGCCACGAAACGCTGTACTGGGTGGGTGAAACGCAGGCAGGGAGCAAGGGCTGCGCAGGGTGGTGGCGGACGCATGCGGGCGGTGCCGCTGGGACCTTTGGTGGAGCTCCCTATAGGGCTACGAAGCGCTGTTCTGGGTGGGTGAAGCGCAGGGAACAAGGGCTGTGCTGGGTGGTGGCGGACGCAAGCGGGCAGTGCCACTGGGACCTTTGGTGGAGCCCCCTATGGGGCCACGAAACGTGCGAGGGGTGTGCCAGAATGGGGTGTGGAACCGCATGCCAGCGCAGCCACTGGGGCCTTCGGTGGAGCTCCCTATGGAGCCACGAAACGTGTGAGGGGTGTGCCGAAATGGGGGGTGGAACCGCATGCGAGCGCAGCCACTGCGGCGTTCGGTGGAGCTCCCTATGGGGCCACGAGACGTGTGAAGGGCGTGCCGAAAAAGGGGGTGGAACCGCATGCGAGCGCAGCCACTGGGGCCTTCGGTGGAGCTCTCTATGGGGCCACGAACCGTGTGAGGGGTGTGCCGAAATGGGGGGGGGAACCACATGCGAGCGCAGCCACTGGGGCGTTCGGTGGAGCTCCCCATGGAGCCACCCACGAAGCGTGTGAGGGTGTGCCAGAATGGGGGGTGGAACCGCATGCGAGCGCAGCCACTGGAGCGTTCGGTGGAGCTCCCTATGGGGCCACGAAGCGTGTGAGGGTGTGCCAGAATGGGGGGTGGAACCGCATGCGGGCGCAGCCACTGGGGCCTTCGGTGGAGCTCCCTATGGGGCCACGAAACGTGTGAGGGGTGTGCCAGAATGGGGGGTGGAACCGCATGCGGGCGCAGCCACTGGGGCCTTCGGTGGAGCTCCCTATGGGGCCACGAAGCGTGTGAGGGGTGTGCCAGAATGGGGGTGGAACCGCATGCGGGCGCAGCCACTGGGGCCTTCGGTGGAGCTCCCTATGGGGCCACGAAACGTGTGAGGGGTGTGCCAGAATGGGGGGTGGAACCGCATGCGGGCGCAGCCACTGGGGCCTTCGGTGGAGCTCCCTATGGGGCCACGAAACGTGTGAGGGGTGTGCCAGACTGGGGGGTGGAACCGCATGCGGGCGCAGCCACTGGGGCCTTCGGTGGAGCTCCCTATGGGGCCACGAAACGTGTGAGGGGTGTGCCAGAATGGGGGGTGGAACCGCATGCGGGCGCAGCCACTGGGGCCTTCGGTGGAGCTCCCTATGGGGCCACGAAACGTGTGAGGGGTGTGCCAGAATGGGGGGTGGAACCGCATGCGGGCGCAGCCACTGGGGCCTTCGGTGGAGCTCCCTATGGGGCCACGAAACGTGTGAGGGGTGTGCCAGAATGGGGGGTGAACCGCATGCGGGCGCAGCCACTGGGGCCTTCGGTGGAGCTCCCTATGGGGCCACGAAACGTGTGAGGGGTGTGCCAGAATGGGGGGTGGAACCGCATGCGGGCGCAGCCACTGGGGCCTTCGGTGGAGCTCCCTATGGGGCCACGAAACGTGTGAGGGGTGTGCCAGAATGGGGGGTGGAACCGCATGCGGGCGCAGCCACTGGGGCCTTCGGTGGAGCTCCCTATGGGGCCACGAAACGTGTGAGGGGTGTGCCAGACTGGGGGGTGGAACCGCATGCGGGCGCAGCCACTGGGGCCTTCGGTGGAGCTCCCTATGGGGCCACGAAACGTGTGAGGGGTGTGCCGGAAGGGGGGGTGGAACCGCATGCGGGCGCAGCCACTGGGGCCTTCGGTGGAGCTCCCTATGGGGCCACGAAACGTGTGAGGGGTGTGCCAGAATGGGTGTGGGAGGGGGAGGAGGGGGGAGGAAGGGGAGGAGGAGGAAGGAGGAGGAGGAACGCGGGGCAACGTCTCTTCAAAACGTGGACCCAACACCACAGAATGGTTTGGAAAAACACCTATCTTTGCATAAGAGGCCGCGACTGCCTGCAGCGGGAGGAGTCCGGTGGAGGCCGTTAGACACCTCAACATATCTCTGCCCCCGTCTTCGCAAAACCCTCAACAATGACGGTCTCACACAATAGTTTGACAACAGCCGTTTCACGCTCGAAATCTGGTTGAAAGGAACTTTGTCTGACCGAAACAGAGAAAACTTAAACCAATCTTGTTTTCCTGGGAGATCGCGAGTTCCGCGCCTTTTACCAATTCACCAAGAGATCGAGCAACAGCCCGTGCTAGAAGGGCATACGTTATGACACACGTTCTGGGCGCAGGAGGAGGAGGAGGAGAAAGGAGGAGAAAACATGAGAAAGGAGCAGGGCACACGGAGGGGCGGGGGGGGAGGGTAAGGAGGCGGAGGAGGGGGAGGAGGAGGAGGAGGAGGAGGAGGAGGAGGAGGAGGAGGAGGAGGAGGAGGAGGAGGAGGAGGAGTTGCCCTGTAGATTACCAGAGTGAAGGGGTCCGAACGGTCTTGCCTTCTTCCCTGCGCGCGGGTGGCTGGATGGAGGGCCTGGTCCCTGGGGGTGGTACTCGGGGGCCAATCAGTGGGGACAGTACGTCGGGGGCAGGTACTCTGGGACAGCGTAGGGGGGCAGCACTCGGGGGGCAATGCGCGGGGGCAGCACTCGAGAGCAGTCCGTGCAGGTGGCACTCGAGCGCACGACAGGATGCGCACACCAGCCGCCGCCCCGTCGCTCTTATCCGAAAGTCAGAGGTTCATACAGATGTATGCTCGTACATACGCAGATATGTATATGCACATACACATGCATGGAAATGCATATGCAATTGCCCCAGATCAGAAAAAAAAATAAGCATAATCATTGGATTGTTTAGGTGCTCCGCCTCGCGCATGCATGTAGCCGCAATGTAATGATTTCAATGTGCTACTTTCACGGGGTGCAACGAATGTTCAATGCATGGTGTTACTGATGTGGGAAAAGGCCGCGACATGCTCTTACAAACAACAAACCACTTCGTTCAACGAATGTCTACGGCATCATCACGTCTGCGCCAGAAAGTAACGCGCGACGGACAGGGCATCGCGATCGGATGGTACAGATGATATGTCAGGGATGGCGGGGGTTGGGAAGGTGGATGGGAGTTGGCCGGAGGTTGGATTGCATCAGCGGTGGCCAGCGGACAAGTAACACTGACAATACACAGTGCCGTACTATACGCCATCGTGCAGTGGGCACTGAGTGGGATGTCCTCACATCTCCCTGAATCCGCTGTAGTGCGTCACATGGGCCATGGGCCTGGATTCCCGGACGCTCATCGGCGCCTGCCAGGGAGGCTCGCAGGCCCCCCAGAGGCCTACCGAGACGGCACGACGAGGGCGAACACCGACATTTGAAACACTCGCCCCGAACATCGTCTCCGAGACCGCCGGGAGGCGCCTGAGAGGCCCCGAAAGGGGCCAGGAGAGGCCCCACGAGGCCTCAAGAAGTCCCCCAGAGCTCCCGAGGAGACTCCAAGAGGCCCCAAAGCGGTCTCCTAGATGCCCCCAAGAAGCCGAACAAGACGGCCCCAACACCCCTCAGGCCCATAACCCAAGCACGGCTGCGGGCAGGGCCTGAGGGCACTAGACCCGCCGCCCCCTTCTGCCTGCATGCGATGTGTTGGCGTGCCGAGTGGTAGCTGCGGGAACCCATCCAGAAAAGCTCCCCAATGCAGTCTCGGCCGATCCAGCCGGCCACCCGGGAACCACCTGGCGGGGTGCACTCCGGCGGTTCTCCCGCCCGAGATGGTCCCCAAGATGGCCTCCGCAGCTGCCCGGATGGCCTCCCCGACGGTCCCGAGACGCCTCCGAGACGCCACGCTGCCACCAAGGCGGCCCAAGAATGACTCTAAGACGGCCCAAGGTGGTGCCCCGCGGACGGCCCAAGAGGCCCCTCAGACGGCACAAGAAGGCTCCGAGAGGACCTCCGGGAGGCCGCTGCCATCCACCCCTCCTTCACCATCAGCTCGTCTTCGCGCTCTCGCCTCTCCAGGCTTCCGACAGCACGGACGCTCACAAGAGTGCGGGACGACTGGCGGAGAATGCCCCACAACAGTCCAGGAAGCCCCCCACACCGGCCCAGGGAGGAGGCGCCCGCAGGCACCCAAAGAAGGCCCCCTACGACGGTCCAGAGGGAGCCCCAAGACGGCCTCTGACGGCCATGAGGCCCCCTGGAGACCCCAGACGCCCCCAGGAGGTCCACAGGAGGCCCAGGAGGCCCCCAGTAATCAAGCCCCCTGGAGGTCCCACGAGGGCCGCAAGAGGCCCCTCTTCTTCTTCTTCGTCCACCTCCTCCTTCTCCTCCCTCTCCTCATCCTCATCCTCATCCTCCTCCTCCTTCTCCTCCTCCTCCTCCTCATCCTCCTCCTCCCTCCTCCTCCTCCTCCTCCTCCTCCCCTTTCTCCCTTCCTTCCCTACGTGTCCCCCCGATGGTTTACACAACAGCTGGGGGAACCCATAGTCCAATAGCTTTGCCAAATGTTGGACCAACGCTTGGCCACATCCGCATGTCCAGAAAGATGAGGGGCGGCGGTGACTCGCAGTAGGCGACTTTGGCAGTCGAGTCCAGTTGAGACGAATCACGGAGAGCCTGACGGAGCCAAACAGAATTGATGGAGCCGAGCGAAGTCTAACACAGTCGAGTAGAGCGGACGCGACCAGAGCCGATTGGAAACTAATCTAATCAATCGCAACTGAAAGAACCAAGATAGGGCACACGGGTCTGTACTATGATAGAGATGCGTCGAGGCGAGTAGTATACAATAGCGCTGGGCGGAGCACAGGACAGGCCAGAGCTGCCGAGAAGCTGCACCGACCCGCCCCACCCAGCCTAGTTGCACCACGCCCGCGCGCAAACCGAACCCACCCAACCCAACCCTTTGCGCCAGAAAGCCCCTCGCGCATGCCAAAGGGCATGGCTGCTGCGAGAACGCGCGCGCATGCGTGCGTCAAGTGCGATCGCCCGTCCACGCGCAAGACCGCGCGAACAGGTGAACACCAAATGAGACAACCAACTCGCCACTGAGGAGCTCGTCCATCAGCGCTTTCTTGCGGCAGCCTGCACGGCCCCAGCCAACGAATTGCGGCAGGCGCGCGCAATGTCTAATCATTCACCTACTGGTCCACCGCAGTTGCGGGAGAGAGGAGTGTGCAGCACAGGAGGAGGAGGAGGAGGAGGAGGAGGAGGTGGAGGAACAACACGGCAAAAGAGGAGGAAAAGAAGGAAGAGGAGGAGGAGGAGGAAAGGAGAGGAGGAGAGGAGAGGAGGAGGAAGAGGAGGAGGAGGAGGAGAGGAGGAGGGGGAGTGGGAGGAGGAGGAGGAGGAGGAGGAGGAGGAGGAGGAGGAGGAGGACGAGGAGGAGGGGAAGGAGGAAGCGGAGGGGGAAAAGGAGGAAGAGGAGGGGGAGAAGGAGGAGGAGGAGAGGAGGAGCGTCTGGGGAGGAGAAGGATGATGAGGAGGAGGAGGAGAGGAGGAGGAGGAGGAGGAGGAGGAGGAGGAGGACAACGGAAGGGGAGGGTGGGGGGAGGGGGCGGAGGTGGGAAGGGGAGGGGGTGGTCCCCCAGCAAGGCCCCCTTGCGTGACTCCCCGGCGTGGGCCTCCCGTCGTCGTGGCCCTCAGCACGGCCTCCCGGCGTGGCCCCGCAGCGTGCCCCCCCCCCCCCCAAGCGCGGCGACCCAGTGAGGCCTCCAATCGCGCACCCGAGCCCAGAGATGCGACGCTCCAACAAGGTTTGGAGCGGCGGGAATCGGGCAAAGTTTCGGCCTCCGCGGGGGCCCTCGCCGGGACTCGGGAGCGTCAACAAATGGCCCAGGATGAACAACTGCACGGGGGGAAGCGGTCCGGACCTTCGGGGCCCACGCATCGAAAACATTGGAGCGGCCATGCGTCTGGGAAAGGACGACTCCTGGACGGACGAACGCGCGCAGGGATAGTGTAAAACCATTCGGGCAGGCTCTCTCTCTGACGTGTGTATGCGCGTCGACTCCCAAACAGTGCACCGGGGTTCCCACGTCTCCTCTAAGGAACTGGGCCTGTCTGTCGGTCAGGCGGCTATGATAGCGCCGTCGCCGCTCCGTCGCAACCTCGCCGTCGCCCGTCGTCTGGGCCTGTGAGTCGGTCTGGCGGCTATGTTGTCGCCGTCGCCGCCCCGTCGCCGCCCCGTCGGTGCACACTATGTGGCCACGAAGCGCTGTACAAGGTAGGGAAACGCATTCGGACGGTGCCACTGGCGCCTGCGCTGGAGCTCCCTATGGGGCCACGAAGCGCTGTACTGGGTGGGGGAGACGCATGCGAACTTTGCCACTGGGGCCTTCAATGAAACCCCCTATGGGGCCACGAAACGGTGTACTGGGTGGAAGGGGAGCGCATGCGGGCAGTAGCACCAGGACCTTTGGTGGAGCTCCCTGTTGCGGACGGTCTTCGGTGGAGCTCCCTATGGGCCCACGGAGCGCTGTACTGGGTGGGGGGGTCGCATGCGGGCAGTAGCACTAGGACCTTCGGTGGAGTTCTCTATGGGGCCACGAAGCGCTGTACTGGGCGGGGGTGACGCATGCGAACTTTGCCGCTGGGGCCTTCGGTGGAGCTCCCGATGTGGCCACGGAGCGGTGTACTGGGTGGGGGAAACGCATGTGGACTTTGCGATTGGGGCCTTCAGTAGAGCTCTCTATAGGGCCATGAAGCGCTGTGCTGGGTGAGGGGAAACGCATTCGGACGGTGCCACTGGCGCCTGCGCTGGAGCTCCCTATGGGGCTACGAAGCGCTGTACTGGGCGGGGGGGACGCACGCGGGCGGCAGCGCTGGGGCCTTCGGTGGAGCTCCCTGCGGGGCCACGAAAGAACGCTTGGCCGCCACGGGGAGTCCAGCGCAGGGCAGACGCCCTTGCCGAGACAGAGAGCGGGAGATAGTGCGGCGCCTGGCCTCCTCCACATCGGGCTGGTGGGCCGCGGCGCCAGAAGCCATGGGCCGCCTTGAGGGGAAGAACAGGAGAACAATGAGGATAGGAGGAGGAGGACGACGACGAAGAAGGGAGATGACGAACAGGAGGAGGAGAAGGAGGAGGAGGAGGAGAAGGAGGAAGAAGAGGAGATGAGGAACAGGAGGAGGGGAGGAGGAGGGGAAGGAGGAGAAGGAGGAGGAGGAGGAGGAGGAGGAAGAGGATAGGGAGAGGAAGGGAGGAGAAGGAGGAGGGGGGGAGGAAAATGAGGAAGACGACGAGGAGATAGGAGGGGGGAAGAGGGGCAGGAGGGTAGTACGAGGGCAGAGGCAGCAAGGAAAGAAGGGGGGAAAAAGGAGGACACGGAAGAGGACACGCCTCCTTCCCCACCCCTTTCCCTATCCCATCGCCCCTCTCCCGCTTTACCCCACCTTCGTCACTTCTCCCTGCCGACCCCCTCCCCTTCCAACCCCAACCCCTTCCTCCTCCTTCTCCTCCCCTCTCCCGAGCGCCCTGCCCACCCGTTCCCTCCCGTCCCCCCCCGCGCCCGATTCAATGCCCATCCCCCCTGACGCCCATCCCCATCCCCACCCCGTCCCTCCTCAGCCATGTCCCCCTCCCCTCCCCACAGCCTCTCACATATGATCCACGTCCCCTTTCCCTCTTACCATCCTCTGTCACGATCCCCATCCCACTCCCCTCTCCCCTCTCTGCAGGCGCCGACATGTGCATACATGGTTCCCGGCGCTTGTTGCTGCCGCCGCGGCAACGTTCAGCGGCGCCCAACCAACATTGACGCTAGTCGGGCAGACCCATGTTGTCTCCTTTCCCCTCCGAATGCTGTTGTCGCGCTAGTCCAGGAACCCCCTCCTGGCCTGACCCTGTCCGAATGTTGTTTCGACGGTCTGGGCCGACACCGTCATTGGCTGATCGCCCTTGGAATTCTCGTTCCCCGCAATAGTCCACAGCCATGGATGAGGAGACCTGGGATACGTACCGAAGCTCGTGAACAAACCAGGCGCTGTTCTGGAGACGCCAGTTTACTTCGCACAATGCGGAACGGGACGCCGCTGCCACACAGGCGGGAGGACCCGAGGATGCCGCTGAATGCATGCCCTGCTATTTCTCTTTCACTCTCTCGTACGACGTACAGGCCGCTTTCCCATCTATGAAATGGCAGTGGATCGCAGCCGTCTTGCTCCACCATTCTTTGCCAGCTGGCTACACGTGTGGGACCTGGGTTTTGTACCACGATCTGCAGGAGGAGAAGGAGGCCAACAAGCTCCGCCGTCACATACGAAGAAGGCATCAACAGTTAACACGCTGCTACCAACATGCTCACCGCACTCGACGCTATTACCGTCATGCGATCACCTCGGCCAGGCCCGCCACCATGTAAGCCACCGGAATCCATCTTGATGCACGGCATCGTCAGGACCACGATCGCCAACATCAGCGACCTCATGATGTCTCACATAACCACTGCTATACGAGCAGGAGCCACGGGTCAGCTGGCCAGCACGGGGGCATCCTACTACGACAACTTAGAGAAATATGACCAAGCGGAGTTCGAAGTGAAACGTTTTCGCAACACGCAGACCGAATAGTGACATCATACCGTGTGCGAACAACATGCGGCTGGCCAGGCAAGACCGACGCAGACCACAGCAACACAACACTTCCCAACCGAAACCGACACACCGGGTCATAACTGTCAGCCACACACGCACGGTACCCAATCAGGCGGACCACCCACCACCGTTTTGTGCACCACCACCGTTCGACCCAACACGCTGCGTGACATGGGGCGAGCACGCGCAAGCACAAGCCCTGCAAGAAACGAGATTCCACAACGGGCTCCCTACGTCACCGAACCACCGAATGCGCCGACCGCGCCCACTAATCGCTTACAGATGCCAAGGCAAACCGGATATCTGGAACGCCCATGTGTAGCACTTCAAGTTGGACACGCAGGAAACAACGTGGGATACCCAAGGGCTGTGACACCGGATGGCCTTAGACAGCTGGGGATCAAGACGGCAATATGAGATAGAACAAACTAGGAAAAATGTAGATTTCCGAGATAGCTAAAAGCAGTTTCTACTTAGCTCCTGAAGCGACAGGAACGCGCGCGCGGGATGAGCAACGTCGAACCCGCGGCGGCGACGCGCCGAATCAAACCACGGCCCCGCGCGCCTGTAAATCAACAAGGGATGCCGCGCGGGTTCTGCACGCGACGCCACGGCGATGGTCGCGGCGCGGTTTTGCACGTGACACACCCCAATGCCTCTTCCACCTTTCCCCCCTCAACCCCTTCACCAGCCTTCCCCTTCCTCGTCTCGGCCCCTCCTCCTCCTCCTCATCATCCTCTTTCGCCTGACCTCCCCCTCTACCCGTCGCGCGCCCATCTCGCCGTGCCGCGGCGGTGCCTTCTCCTGCCGCGAACCCCTCGCCCGCCGCTCCCGCACTCGACAATGACGAAGTGGTAGAACTGGTCATGTCAGACAACCCTCAAAAGCGCCTACAGACCTTACTGCTCAGCAAACGGAGCGACAAGCTAACCACGCAGGAGGGCGTCATGCCAATCATCGGCGAGATCCAAGCCAAGCCGCATAGCCACACCACGGGCCGACACACCGACCAAACGACAAACTCCTAGAGACGATGAACTACTTACGGTCACAGCTACCTGGGCCTAGCCAGCAAGGGGCATCAAGCAGCGGACACGTGACAGCCACCCCTTCTGCAGCAGGACCCATGCACTCACCCAAGCCGATGGCAACACCACCGACACCGAAGGCCAGCAGCAACACGCCAGCCCCAACAAGAGAGCCACGATCCAAGGCACCTCAAGCCTCATCCCAACTCTACTCCTACAAGTTGCACAACGCTGACCAAGGAGGAGGTCATATAAAGGACAGACCGAGCGAGCACCACATCCGCTACCAAGATGTCCCACGAAAACCATCACCAATGACTCCACCAGAAACATTCGAAATTGGCAGTGGGCTAGCATTACCAGCAGCACTCCGACGACAGCGTGGACCACGCAACCGGTAGTAAAAATCAGCGCCAACATCATGCACGACTTGGGCACAGTGATCGAGATGGCTTCCCCCCCCCGACCGGACGCACGCCACCAGACATGAGATCTGGGAATGATCAAAGCAAGCGACACCAAGATCTGATCGAGCGCTTGTCCAACAGCACCAGCATGATCCCACAAGGCCGCAAACCCATAGACTTCAAGATCAAGATCCACAAGATCATCTCAGACTACTTCGTGAACATGAGGAACGCGAACAACCGCTACGATCTGGACATCGGGGCAGACCCTGTCAATCGTGTCCAGTATGAACAGGGCATGTACTACGTAAGGGCATCGTTGAACTTCGGCTTCCCGTAATGACCGAGCTCCAGACCCACCTCGCCCATTCGCCAACAACCAGCTAGCAGTGACGTTGACCTACAAGATCGACGACGACTCACACGAACTACCGACACCACACGCCATGACTACACAGCGGCGGAGCATGATCATTGCAATAAAGCTGGATATTACGTTGCAACCCGACCTCCATGCAAACGCCAATTCCATTCACGCATTTCCAGAGAATAACCGCGTCAGCAGCCATGCAAACGATATCCGAGCTGATCAACGCACAGGACCAACAACCCAACGACCCGACCCAGTGAACGACGGAAACAGAGCAACCAAACACAGCCAAGCCACAAGCGCAATACAATCCTGCCAACCCCAACTCCGACTCAACGACCGACTGTCAAGCTCTCCCACCAACCGTGCAACATCTGACTGACCCATCCGAGCAGGCGCAACCGACACGGACGGAGGAACAGAACCAGAGCAAAGAGCTCCCAAGCCCCAATAGGTGGGCACCTTGGCAAACTCGCTGCGTGGCAGCAACAGCCTCGCACCCAACAAGCATAGCCGCACGCAGCAGCTTAGACCAGCATGCTACAGACAGAGCACGGGCCCACCGACAGCGACACAATGGGCCATGATCGACTCTGGCCGTCAAACCAAGCCGGCAGAGAGCCGCACGGGAGAGAACGACCAGGGTCTAGACATTTCCCCAAGCAGCACCCAACAACCAAACCACGACGCGATCCAAACTAGACCAACAACCAACCAGTACGACAGCAACCAGGACCACAACGATGCCACAGCCAAATTAACCAAAGCAGACGGTGGCTCAGCGCCTTGGTCACCGTTCGAGGCTGAATACAAGCAACACCTCAAGGACCAACAGCCCAACCAAGTCACGGAAACGCAGTAGACTCCCTCCTCATTGCCCACAATTAAGAAGCTCATGCCTCTCGATGGGACCAACCTTACAGCAGCCCGTCAGTGCGCCTACCGTCTCACCCAGCGTGCACAGTTTTGTCCAATGTTGCTCCATGACAGACACGAGACGTCACACCAGCTGCTACATTCCGACTCCCAACCTCTGCGCTAGCCGATGACCAAAACGCATGCACTCACCGACAGGATCGGCAGTAGCACAGCTGGTCGCACCATCCCTAGACGCACCTCCCCGACGGCAGCTGAAAAGAGACTCCCACGAGTCTCAGCACACAGCGATGACAACAACAACAACAACAACATCTATGCTAAGCAGTGGGTCCCTGAGGGGCATTCTCACCCACAAGCTGTGCAGGTTCATCCGACGTGTCCGCCGAAACAGGGTCTCAGCATACGTTCGACGACGTCAACAGCAGCTGTGCTGCTCAGTGGACTCCTGCGGGGGAGTCTCACCCACAAGCTATGCTATTGCACCCGACGTGCAGGTTGAGACAAAGCCTCCACCAACCTCAAGCCTTCCCTACCTCCTGGCTTCCGTCTGGCCACAGCCACTCTCTGCGAGGGCGATGGCGCCCAACAGATTTCAGCCGCCGGCTGCTCGCCTACGCCCCCTGCCCCACACCGTCGGTCTCACACTATCCATTACCTCTTTTGCTTCACGCTCGCAGCTCCGCGCTTGGCATCTCCGCCTTTCTGGGAGCTGGAGGCCCCTTACTCCGCCTACAACCTGGCCTGCCTCTTTTGCCTCACCCCCACACTTGAAACATCTCTCCTCCATTCCTGTCCCTTACAACTCCTCCCTGTCGAATCCCAGGGCCGGTCGAAAGGGCGGGCCGGGCGCTTCGCCTAAGACTTTCTCACGATTTGTGATCCTGGAGCTTAAGAAGTGGCAACAGCTTCGCAGATGGAGGACGGGAGGCTTTCAAAATGCGGATCTCGCCATAGCGCCGGCCACATTCGTTTTAAACATGTGCAGAAGCTTCACGGATTGAGGGCGGGCCGTTTTCAAAATCTGGCTCTCGCCTTAGCGTCGTGCGCATTCCATTCAAACATGTGCAAGAGCTTCACGGATTGAGGGCGGGCTGTTTTCAAAATGTGGCTCTCACCTCAGAGTCGCGCACATTCGTTTAAAACCTTTGCATGAGGTCAAGCACTCTGGCCAGACGAGCAAGGGGAGTCCGATCCGCTGGACTCGCAGGGGGCTCGTCGGCTCATTCCCAGCGTGTTTCAACATAGTCTTCCTCTGCCGTCGGCGACAGGACCAAGAGGAAGGGAAAATGAGGTCGTGCCTGAAAGTCGCTCCAAAGAAGTACAGGGTGACAGGGCACGTAGGCTAGAGCAGGAGCCCGCTCCAGCTCGAGCCGTCGGGGCGTCGCGGCGAGGCGGGGAGCGGACAGCATGGGCCAGGAGAGGGCAGAGGAACGTAGGACGGGGCAGGGGTAGGAGGACGCAGACAAGGGGAGGCGGAGCAACAGAAGCACGACCGCGTCGCGTGGACGGCAACGCTGCGCAACGCAAGACAGAGCGCCGGGTGCGAAGCAGCGACCGATCGCAGCTCGTGGTGAACCCGGGGCCTGAGAGCCAAATAATCGTAGTCAACCCAACAGAGCTCCTCCTCCTTTCCTCCTCTTCCTCCTCCTCCTCCTACTTTTCCTCCTGTGCCTCCTCCTCCTCCTCCTCCTCCTCCTCCTCCTCCTCCTCGTCCTCCCTCCTCCTCCTCCCCCTCCTCCTCCTCGTCCTCCTCCTCCTCCTCCTGCTCCTCCTCCTCCTCGTCCTCCTCCTCCTCCTCCTCCTCCTCCTCCTCGATTCCTCCTCCTCCCCCTCGATTCCTCTCCGGGCGTCATGGTCCAGCTGGATCGTGCCTGGCACACTCCTTCCACGACGGCGCGGGCTCTGCTGTCCGACCCCGCGCGAGCCCTCTCGGCCCCCGACGGCCTCCGCTCTCGGCCCCACCGAGGAGGAGGAGGGAGGAGGAGGAGGAGGAGGAGGAGGAGGAGGAGGAGGAGGAGGAGGAGGAGATGGAGGAGGAGGAGGAGGAGGAGGAGGAGGAGGAGGAGGAGGAGGAGGATGAGGAGGAGGAGAGGAGGAGGAGGAGGAGGAGGACGAGGACGAGGGGGGGCCGTCGACCCGTACCTATCCCGCCGCTCTCGCGAGCCGTGGGGGGCGTCGCTGCTGTGGGGATCCAGGGCAGCAGCGGCCGTTCGACCTGGAACGCCCGCGCCAGCGTTGAGTCGCGTCCCCCCTATGGGGGATTTCGGGTCGAGACTCAAGAAAAGTCCAGGAATCTATTTCAAACGAGTCGAACATATGCAAAACAACTAGTTCCCGAGCTATTCTTTGACTACTCTTTTCATCTTCCTCCTGTAGAGGGACAGGCCCGACTTAGCACCAACGTCGCGGCGGGATAGAAACGGCACGGCCCTGCCGTGAACGACGTATCGTCCCTGCCTTCCGGGCGCGACCCGTCGAGACGCCATGCCGCGGCTTCGGGCCTGCGATTATCGGTGGGGAGCTGGGTCAACCGTGCTTGGCGAACAGCGAACAATCTGGGTCATCGGTCAGAGCGCTGGACCCGAAACTCCTGGCCCTCATCTCGAATTCCGAAGTGGCACTTCGGGAAAACCACGTGGCACAGTGGCATTTCGTAGCACGGGTCGCTTTCGAAAGAGGTCTGGCAACCCTGCGTCGGCTGCTGGATCAACCTATCATGCTCCGGCCCGTCCAACGAAACCTGTATCAGCTGTACATCGGCGGATGCACACAAAGCGAACCCGAGCCCGATCATAATGAAGCGCGGCATTTGATGAATCTGCACGTCCCAGCAATGCGTAGCACAGTCTGGGGAAACATAACTTGACAGTCTGCGGGGGGTTCGGTTGACAATGTGCCGAAACTGGCTTGAACGCACAAGGCTACGGTATTCACCATTACGTCCTTCGGTGCGACAAGTTCGAAGGTCCCCAAGCAACGCATGGACCCACATGCATTGATTGTCGTTTCGCTGGATGATCTCTCCACTTCAACACAAGCCCCAATTCCCCAGCCAGCACCCCAAATGATCCACCTGAACTCGGAGAGGCGAAGGCATGGAACGCAAGGGTGTATGTCCTCTGTGAGGCCCCAAAAACCTGGTCAAAATCAGCGCGCTGACCCCGACACACCAGCCCCAATGTCCCAAATTTGGCGAAAGACAGCCGAGATGTTGGCCACCGCCCATGCAAGATGGAACTGTGCACCTTGGGGGGAGAGAGTCCAAGGATAGAAGGAAGGCTCGATCCCAGTGGATGCACTCCCCTGGATGAAGGAAGTTGGCGAGCAAGGTGGATGAGGAGGGACAGGAGGTGCGTGGAACGGAGATGCGGCCGCCGAATGTTTTAGATAACGCGGTAAGCATCAAAACCGATAGCAACATATAATGCAGCACAGGCAGGACTTACCTGGACCAAGTTGGAAGAGCGCATGCTCGCGCTGGCGCGCAGGGTGTAGCGAAGCCGCGGGCAGACGCACTAGTGGTAGTGCCAGCCTGAGGCGGAATAGCATGCGCGCGCCACTTCGAATAAACAAAAGAAGGGAGGAACTGAGAAACTCTGGACAAGACCGGTCAGAGGCTTCGCAGTGTCGATTCAGCATGATGAAGTCGCGTATGGCATGTGTCCTGAAGGAGAAGGAGGAGGAGGGTCCTGACACCTATGGCGCGTACTGATATGAGGAGGCCATAGTGGTCTACGGCAGAATCCACCACACCACAGTGCCGCATGCGCTGAGCGGAGCGCCAAGTCCGATCGAATGTGTCGTGGATACTCGTTGCGGGCTCTGGAGCCCGGACTCGCCAGCACTCCTGGGCGCTCCTGGGAATTCTTCTGACTCGCCACGTGGCTTGTCCCGAACTCATGCGCTCGTCTTCGGGGGCCCAAGCTTTCAGCATGCCCCAAGACGCCCCCACGGGCCCATCAGGAACTATACTGAGGATCCCTGACGCCGTCTTGGGGCACTTCGGGGCGAGCGGAAAAGGGGTCACATCATTCAAAGCGCTGCGAGCCGCAGGCGCCACATCATGGGAGACGCCCGAATCTGATCCGATGGGCTCTTCCGCGCAACATTTCTCAAAAACGTACAGTCGGTGCGTTGACCTAGAGAACCTAAATGAGGAACGATGCCTCTTTTTTCCATAAGTTAAACTTCGACTCCCCATCGAAGACCTAAGCAAAACCAAAGACAAACTGTGAAACCATTGAGGAACACGGAGCCCCTCCCCAACGGAAAGGTTCCTTCTGCAGCGCCCCAACCGTACGAGAAGGCCCAACCAGAGGCCCCCACACGCAGGCCCAAGAGAGGCCCCCAGAGGGCCCAGGAGCCCCCGAGAGGACGGCTTCTCAAGCTGGGCCCGACACGAGCACGCCGCCCCCGCGCCGCAGGAAGCCGCCCTTCCAAGAAGCCCGGAGACCACCAGCAGCCCCGCCCCGCACCCGCGAGGCTCACAAGAGGCTACTCCCTCCTCCTCCTCCTCTTACGCCTCCTCCTCCTGCTACTGCTCCTCCTCCTGCTCCTGCTCCTCCTCCTCCTGCTCCTGCTCCTCATGCTCCTCCTCCTCCTCCTCGTCTTCTCCCTCCTCCTCCTGCTCCTGCTCCTGCTCCTCCTCCCCCTCCATATCGTCTTCGTCCTCCTCCTCCTTTTCCTGTTCCTGTTCCTCCTGCTCCTGCTCCTGCTCCTGCTCCTCCTCCTCCTCCTCCTACTCCCCCTCTTCCTCCTCTTCCTCCTCCTCCTCCTCCTTTTCCTCCCTCCCTCCCTCCCTCCCTCCCTCCATCCGTCCATCCATCCATCCATCCATCCATCCATCCTCTTCTTCCCTCCTCCTCCTCCTCCTTGTCCTCCTCCTCCTCCTTTTCCTTTTCCTTCTCATCCTTCCCCCCCTGCTCCTCCTCCTCCTCCTCCTCTCTTCCTCTCCTCGTCCTCTCCTCCTCCTCCTCTTGCTCCTGCTCCTCCTCCTCCTCCTCCTCCTCCTCCTCCTCCTCCTCCTCCTCCCCTCCTCCCCCCCTCCTCCTCCTCCTCCTCCTCCTCCTCCTCCTCCTCCTCCTCCTCCTCCTCCTCCTCCTCCTCCTCCTCCTCCTCCTCCTGAAGCGCTGTGAAGCGCTTCAGGCGAACTAACAATGCACGCCAGAAGCGCTTCCCGTCATCCGCCTCCGTGCCTTGTGCATGCTGAGGAGAGGAAGAATGCCACGGGCTGTCTGGTAGGTACCCTGAACTTCAAGGAGGGACCTCCCCCAATAGGGTGGCGTCCCTCTGCATCACGCATCGCCCCCCGCCCTCCCCCCCCCACTCGAGCGCCAGATCCCGGGCGAAAAATAGCGATGGGGCCGCGCGCCCGAGGCCGCGGCCCCGCGTAACGAAAACGATGGAACGGCGTCCCCAGCGTTCTTCGGGAGCGGCCAAGAGGGGGGGGTTCCAAGAGGGGGGGGTGCAAATCATGACCGGCGGCATGTGCGCGGCCCAGCGGGGGGGCCAGGGACGTCATGAAATAAGAAGAGGCGCCATGAGATCTGGGGAAATCTCATGGCCCACGCCATGATATCCACCCCCCCCTAGTCATCACCCCCTTCTTTTCTTCCCCCGAGTTCTGTTGCTCCCGTCGTACTTAAAGACCACATCCCAGAGAGAATTTCGAGCATCCGGAAAAGTGTCGAAAGAGTGTCCAAACAGTGTCGGATGAGTGTCTCCCATGGCCCGACACGTGAAAACACTAGAGTTTCGGTCCTTTTTTCTGGTGCTCGAAATTCTGTCTGGTGGCCAAGACGAAAGTAGGTTGGAATATCATAGCCCTAGCTCCCAAGACGGCCGATGCAGGCAACCGGGGAGGCCATGGTGGCCCAAGATGCCTCAAAGACAGCCCAAGATGGCCCCAAGGCGGCCCAATATGGCCCCAAGACGGCCTGGAATGCCTCGAAGAGGGCCCAAAAGGGCCTCAAGAGAACCTCCAACAGGGCCCAAATAATCTCCATCATGCATTTTCCGATCAAGTGTTCGAATTACTTTCGCACTCTCGCCTTGTAGGGCTTCCGTCAGCTCAGGGCGACCCGTGAAGCCTCCACGATGACCCCAAGACGGCCCAACAGGCCCCAAAGACTGTCCCAAGGTGGCCCAAGAGGTCTCACGATGGCCCAAGAGGCATCCAAGACGGCCCCAAGACGCCCCAAGCGGGCCTGGCGTGGGACCCAAGATGGCCTTAGAATGCCTTCCGACCGCCCAAGACAACCGCACGACGGCCCCCAGGCACCAACCAAACGGCCAAGAGGGCGCCCAGACGGCCCAAGAGAGCCCCAGGACGGCGTCAGAGGGCATCAAGACGGCCCCCAAGATCCCCGAAGACTGCCTCACAGGAGGCCAGGACAGCCCCAAGACGACCCGAAGGAGTTCCATGGTACCTCTTCGAATAGTGACAAAGATAAGTGCCACATGTAGAAGCCTTCCTCCTCCTCCTCCTCCTCCTGCTACTGCTCCTCCTCCTCCTCCTCCTGTCATATTATCCTCTTCCTCCACCTTCTCCTCCTCCTCCTCCTCCTCCTCCTGCTCCTCCTCCTCCTTTTGCTCCTGCTCCTCCTACTCCTGCTCCTCCTGCTCTTCCCCATCCTCATCCTCACCATCATGTTCATTATCATGAACATCAGCATCAGCATCAGCATCAGCATCGTCAGCAGTAGCAGCACCATCACCATCACCACATGTATCGTCATCATCACCATCACCACCATCATCACCATCATCATCATCAGCATCATCATCATCATCATCATCATCATCATCATCATCATCATCATCATCATCATCATCAGCATAGTCATCGTCATCACCATCATGAGCATGAGAAACATAATCAACCTGCTAATATTCGTTATCATCAGCGTCACCGTCACCATCATAATAAGCATCAGCATCAGTATCAGTATCATCATTGTCATGATCGTCGTCGTGGTCGTTGTCGTTATTATCATCGTCGTCATCATCATCATCGTCATCATCATCATCATCATCATCATCACCGCCATCATCATGATCAACAGCAGCATAACCATGTCACCACCATGACACTCATACTCATAGTCGCACTCCTCCTCATCAGCATCATCAGCATCACCCCCATCATCAGCAGCGTCCTCATCATCACCTACATCCTCATCATCCAAGTCAGCATCAGCATCACGACCAGAAATCGCCCACACGAAACTCAACCTTGAGAACCCAGGACGTGAATTGTTTAGCGCCACACGTTCCATAGCGAAACCATCAACACCCAAGAAACCAAAGTCTTTCTGGAGGCGAGCAGGGTGTTCCTTGGCATGAGTTTCCACTGTAGCATCAGCATCAGCACAATAATCACCAACATCAACATCGACATCAAGATAAGAGGCGTCATCGCCATCATCATCAGCAACATCACGGTCGTCGTCATTATCCTTGCCATTACAATCATCATAATAATAATCGGCATCATCATAGTCATCATCATCATCATCATCATCATCATCATGATACTCATCACCATCATCATGATCACCATCATCACTATCATCCTCCTCCTCCTCCTCATCATCATCATCATCACAATCACAATCACCATTACCATCACGATTCTCCCACCCCGGGAGACAGGAGGTGCCACACGTCACGGCCTTCTGTGCCACCTCGAACCGTCGCCACCCAGAATGAGGCGCTGGCACGTTGGCGGGACATGCCGCAGGCAGCTGGATAGACAAACCCAAGAGACCCCAAGCCCCAAGTGGCCTCCGAGAGGCCTTCTTGCCCAGGCACGCCTGTGGTGGCGGGATGGGCCGAAGGCCACCGAACATCCTCCACTTTCTGACCCACCATATCCTTGTGGATCCCTTCTCCCATCTAGATCTCGTGCTCGTGCTCTGCCGGGGCATCGGCCACCGGCTCCGTGGGGACATCGGCCACAGCGCCATTCGAGGCTGCCTCGGGCACGGCGCCACTGGCCTCCTCGACCGGCTCGGTGGCCCTGGCGGCCTCCGTCGGGGCTGAAGCCACCAGCTGCGCGGGGGCAGCGGCCAGCGGCTCTGGGGGAGCGTCGACCGCGGGGTCGCTCGACGTTGGCTCGGGCACGGCGTCGTGGTCCGCCTCCACCGGCTCGCTCGCGCTGGCGGCCTCCGACACCCGTGACAGATTCATCGATGCAACATCCGCGAAGAGCGGCGTGGAGTCATTCTCCGCGGAGGCACTGGCCTCCTCCTTGTCGTTGGCCGCCTTCTCCGGCTCGGTGTCGTTGGCCGCCGCCTTCGGCATGTAAGCATCCAGATCGCCGTCAAGGACACGGGCCAATTCGTCAGTGCTCATGTCTTGGACATTCTTCTCCTCGTGTGTCTCCTCGGCAACTGGCTTGGTGTCGGCTGTCGGAAGGGGGTCCTCATCACGATTGTCGAACATCCTCGACTCGTAGCCGTCCCACTCGCCACTGATGTACCTGTTCATCTCGTCAATGCTCCAGTCTGCGACCCTCTTCTTGTAGAGGAGCAACTCGGGATGTTTGTCGAACTGGGTGATGTCAACCCGCTTCCTGGGGCAAGGCTTCGGGCAGCCGTGCCGGTTGCTGCGCCACAGAAAGTCCTGGACTTTCTCGAAGCTGGAATGCTCCGACAGGCCCTCGTAATATCTGGGGTACTTCTTGATCCCCTCCGAGAGACCGTAGGAGACTGCGGTGTAGCACACCGAGTTCTGAAGCGCGTCCATACAACCGTTTTCGGCCACCTCGGGCCGCGCGGCTGGGTCAGCCGCCTCGCCGTCTTGGTCGGCGCTCTCCTGCCGCTTGGCCCTCACGTCATGCACATGATGCTGGGCCCACGAGATGAACTTCACGGACTCCTTCACCAGCACGGCGCGCTGCGCGTCGCCCTCTCCTGGCACGAGGCCCTCGCACTCCGCCCTGAGGTCGGCGAAGTTCTCCGGGGTCGCGTGTAGCAGCTTTTGGAGGCACTCCATCAGCGCTTTGCCCGCCTGCGTGGTCGGTGTCACCTCCGCCTTTAGAGGAACAGAAAACAGCATCAACATCTGATTTTGGAGGTCCGCGCGGATTTCTTGGATCCGCACTGGACCCTCCTCTCTGGCGCGCGGAGCGTGCCAGGGGCGCCGCCGGAGGCGCCGCCAGGAGAGCCCACCACAGATCCAAAAAGTCCGCGGGGACCGTCGAACGTTCATGTTCGTGCCGTTCTGTGTTCTTCAAGCCTTGGGGAAATCCCACATCCAGCTGGCCGCATCCTTGGAGGAAGCACAGCCTGCATCAAGAGGAACGCTCGGAGGCCCGCGACGGTTTCTGCGATCTGCGCTCAACACCCCTCCCTGTGGCACGAAGCGCGCGCCACGGGCAGCGCCGGAGACGCCGCCGAGGGGGCACAGCGCCGACCAACGAACTCCGCGCGGACCTCCAAGAGTCTATGCCCCTTGTTGCGTCTGCGGGTCCTCCGACCCCGTGCGAACCCGGAGGCTGGGCTTCGCGGCCCCCAGGGCGCGGTACGGCGGGCCCCCGGCGGGCGCACAGGGCTCTCGGCACTGGGCCTTGCCTTGGCGGTGCAGCTCCGCCTGGATCGCAGCAGCGCTGGACTCGGCGTCGAGGGCAGGAAACCAGTCAGGGTGCTGCTCAAGACCCTTCTGCTTCAGCCACCCGACGGTGCGGAAACACAGGTCACCCTCGACCGCATCCACGCAGCCGGAACTCAGCACCAGGTTCCTCGACTCCGCCTCGGCGCCCACATCCCGCGCCTTCGGATCCGAAAAGCAAGGCCTGGGGCACTGTGCTTTTCCAGCACGGTAGAGCAGGTCCTGCACCGCCTCGAAGCTGGACCTGCTGGTGTAGCCTGGGTACCACTCCGGGTGCTTCTCGAAGCCTTTTGCCAGGAGCCAGGTCACGTCGTCGTGGCACGGGGTCCCCTGCTCCGCCTGCTTGCAACCGCCCCCGTCATTCTCCAGGAAGCGTGGCATTCCTTGGCATGAGAGAAGCTGGTCCTGAAGGAAACGGGTCCTGGGGCCAACATCTCGAGTCGCTTCCCGACGGTCCCAGAGCCTGCGGAGGGCCCTGGGAGGCCCAAACTGGCCAGAAAAATCTCAGGACCCGCTTCCCTCTCAGGAGCCCTTGGCTCATGGCGACAGTCCTTCCATGAGCCCGTGCATGATCTCATCTTCTGCGACCTCCTCCAGGAAACCGGCATCTTGTGCGGACCCCTTGCGGATGTACGAGATGGAAGAGCACGACGCTGGCAGCGCCGCCAGCACCGCCGCGCGGAACGCCATGGCGAATGGCCGACTGTCAAAATACGTGTAGGTAAAGAATGTGTATTGCCACCTGCGTGGGCGACAACTTCGAACCGACAAGTGCCTACGGACGAGTGATGACGACGAGGAAGAACAGGAGAACGAGAACACACGCCGGTCGGAAGAGGTGGGTAGAAACATGAAGCAGGAAGGCGTTGGAAGCAGATTTGGACTTCCGCCCGCCCCCTGAAGAGGAGGAAAGAAGGAAAGCCGCTCGACTCTTGAAGTAGGAAGGCGCCTAAAATAGATTAGGGTTTGGGCATCCAAGAACACCTACTTTCAACGACCGGCGTGTACCGGCAACGCGCGCTGAGCACGATGTGGGGGCGAAGCGAGGAGGACCCAACAGCGAGCGCGGGCGGAGCGGCGCCGCGGGTGGTCCCGGGGCCGGGCGGCGCAGGCCTCCTCTTCGCTCCGCACCGCGTGCGGACGCGCTGTGGTTTGGTGGATGCGCGGCCAGAGTGGGGAGGAGGAGGAGGAGGAGAAGGCGGGGGAGGAGGAGGAGGAGGGGGAGGAGGGGGAGGAGGGGGAGGAGGAGAGAGGAGGAGGAGGGAGAGGAGGGAGGAGGAGGAGGAGAGGGGGGGGAGGAGGAGGAGGAGGAGGATGAGGAGAGAGAGGAGGAGGAGGAGGAGGAGGAGAGGAGGAGGAGGAGGAGGAGGAGTGATGAGGAGGGGATGCGCGGCCAGATTGAGCAGTCCATGCTCGAGACACCGATTCCCTCGACACGGGTTACATCGGCTGCATCACGCGCGCAGTGCGCAAGACGGGCCGCGAGAGGTATAACGCAGACTCGCAGCTCCTCACAGCGTGGTGACAGCTCGAGCATCCGAGCGCGTGCTGCCAGAAGCGGCGTCCGAACGGAGTCGAGACGCTGACGACATTTTCATGAGGCGCGCCACGGGGGGAATGCAAAGGGGGCGGGTCTTCTCAGAAGGCTTGGATTAGAGGGCAGAACATCCACCCCGATGATAACCACCCCGACACGCGAAGCCGTCTAGTAAATGCACCCAAACAAGGGATTGACCAGAGCAGGGTCTTGTAGTAAACGCCCACGGCCGTTTCATAAACGCCAATTGTCCGGTCCGAGTGGTTTTTCCTCCCTTGGTGGACAACCTCCGACCTCGCGAGAGGTCCCCCAAACCTTCTCCAAGACACCGACGGCTCCTGAGGAAGCCCGAGGGGCCTCTGAGAAGTTCGACAACCTTTCGAAACCTCCTCCTCCTCCTCCTCCATCCTCCTCCTCCTCCTCCTCCTCCTCCTCCTCCTCCTCCTCCTCCTCCTCCTCCTCCTCTCCTCCTCCTCCTCCTCCTCCTCCTCCTCCTCCTCCTCCTCCTTTGCCCTTTCCTCCTGCCCCTCCTCCTCCTCCTCTTCCTCCTCCTCCTCCTCCTCTTCCCCCTCTCTCGCTTCCCCCTTCGGCGCGCCGTCGAACGCCAGCGGGGCCAGAGCTCGTCCTGGGCAGCAGGAGGCCGATCTGCCCGCGAGACAGGGCGAACCGCGGCCTGGAGACGCCGCGGCCTCGTCCTCGTCGGGGGCGGAGGAGGAGGAGGAAGAGTGGGGAGGAGGAGGAGGAGGAGGAGGAGGAGGAGGAGAAGGAGGAGGAGGAGGAGGACGAGGAGGAAGAGGATGAGGAGGAGGTGGAGGAGGAGGGGGAGGGGGAGGGCGAAGGAGGAGGAGGAGGAGGAGGAGGAGGAGGAGGGAGGAGGAGGAGCGTCGGCAGCAGCCTGGGGAGCAGCAGTATGGGCCCGACGCGCGCCTGCCGCATCTTGAAAAAGAGAGGTCGCCGCCGCATCCCAAGCAACCTGGGTGAGGTTGCCGACTCCTCGAGAAGCGATGCGAAAATGAGCGGAAACACTAGGAGAAGCTAGAGCTGCGGCAGCAGCGAGAGCACGAACACCTTCATCAACATCCTGGCGATGCCCTCCCCGACCACGGCGAGCAGGGCTCGCAGCCGGTGTGACAGACCATTCAAGCCCGCTGGAAGCATCGCGGCGGCGACGCGGGGTGCCACTTTCCTTCGAGTTGTTCTTTGCACGGCGGCCATTTGCAGGCATCGCAGTCTCGCGAACAGGAACTGGAAACTCCAACTTACCCACTGGCGAGGCTGCCAGTGAACAGGGAAAGAAAGCGATGCAGATGTGGGGGCCCAGGTCCCACTGTGAAGGCCAGCAAACAATGCCAGGCAGAACTGCCCTGCCTGCCTCGGACTAGAGGTCTCCACTTTGTATCCAGGGAGTACGAACGTCTTGAGCCCAAATGGCTACGGAGGCAGACGAGGAGGAGGAAGAGGAGGAGGAGGCGGAGGAAGAGAAGGAGGAGGAGGAGCAGCAGGAGGAGGAGGAGGAGGAGGAGGAGCAGGATGAGGAGGAGGAGGAGGCGGAGGTGGAGATGGAGGAGGAAGAGGAAGAGGAAGAGGAGGAGCAGGAGGAGGAGGAGGAGCAGGAGGAGGAGGAGCAGGAGGAGGAGGAGGAGGCGGAGGTGGAGATGGAGGAGGAGGAGGAGGAGGAGGAGGAGGAGGAGGAGGAGGAGGAGGAGGAACGGAGGAGAAGGAACGGAGAACGAGGGAACGGGGGGCCCCGCCGAGCGCACAGCACGCGCAGCCCCGGGGCGCGCAGGGGACACCTCCACGCAGCCACCGCCACCCCCCAGCCACTGCCACCACGGGCCTGGGCGCACGGTGCAGTCTGGCCGAGGCCAAAGAGGGCAGGAGCGAGGAACGGCGACACCACCACCACAGGGGGACCACCAGCGGGAGGAGCCAGGGAGGGGTCCCCCTGGTAGTGTGGCTCCCCCCCCTCTCGCTGGAGACATCCCCTGTCCCCAGCTCGGAGTGGCGTCGCTGACCTCCTCGCTGGCGGTAGCGCCCCTGGTGGTGGTGGTGGTGGTGGTGGTGGTGGTGGTGGTGGTGGTGGTGGTGGTGGTGGTGGTGTCGCTTATCCTTCCCCCGAGATGGCTAAGAATATACAGACCATCCCAGGGTCCCTGATGGCCCAAGCTAGGCGTGATGGTGGTGCAAACATGCATTCCGCAGATTGGGGGACGAGTTCGCCTCCATCAGGTCAGGCAGCACCCCACAGCCCGACGCCGTGGACAAGCCACAAACGTCGTCAAACTCACAGCTGGAGCGCCCAACGCCACCTCTCTGCGGCATGTCTGAAGCCAGATGGCCGAATCCAAGAAACCCTGATCCAAAACTGGAGCTTTCTGAAGGCCTCCCATATAAGGTTCGAGTAGACTGTATCGAAAGATCGCGCCGCATCGCCGATACATCAGCGATGCATCGGCGACGTCGACGATGCATTGGCGACGTCGGTGCGGAGATGACCAGGCTTCACATCGGGCCGCATCGGCGATGCATCGGCAACGGCGGCACGGAGGCCTGAAGGACCCCGTAATAGAAGAAGAAGAAGAAAAACAAGAAAAGCAACAACGCCATAAGCATACACTGTTGGCGCTCCGCGCCGATTCCTTGGATCTGCGCTGGATCCCCCTCCCTGGCGCGCGGAGCGTGCCAGAAGCGGCGCCAGGGGCGCCGCCGGGGAGGCCCAGCGCGGACCCCAGAAGTCCGCGCGGAGCGCCAACAGTTTATGCTCATGGCGCTTACTTCTCTCTCGACCCGAGCAGGATCGCACGACGACGTCGACGACGACCACGACGACGACGACCACGACGACGACGACGACGACGACCACGACGACGACGACCACGACGACGACGACGACGACGACCACGACGACGACGACGACAACGATGACGACGACGACCACGACGACGACGACGACGACGACGACGACGACGACGACGACGACGACGACGACCACGACCACGACGACGACGACGACGACGACGACCACGACGACGACGACCACGACGACGACGACGACGACGACGACCCCGCCGCACTCCGCCCGCGGGCCGGGCGCCGTGCCCGCACCCCCCGGGCGCCCGCCGAGGAGGGCGAGGGGAGGGCCCGAGGGCGAGGCCCCCCGACGGGAGCGCCCGGCGGTCGATCTGGCGGGGGCAGCGGGGGCGAGGCGGGAGCCTATCGATGACCACCGCCTGGGGGGCCGACCTTCGGGGACCTCGGCAGGCGGTGGAATGTATATATATATATATATGTATGTATGTATGTATATGTATGTATATATATATGTGTGTATTTATATATACATATATGTATATATAGAAATAATAAACATAATAGAATATTGTGTATTAAACATAAGCTGTATGTATATACATCTATAGTTATATAATGGAATGGATATAAATATACATATATGTATGTATATAGAATAAATAAATATATGAATGGATATACATATATAATAGTGTGTCTCAAACATGAAACATAAACTTACATTCTCGACGGTCAGCGCGGATGTCTTGGATCTGCGCTGGGCCCCCCTCCGTGGCGCGCGAAGCGCGCCAGGGGCGGCGCCGGAGGCGCCGTTGGGGGGGGGGTCCCCGGGCGGATCCAAGAAACCCGCGCGGAGCGCTCAAAGTCTATGTTTATAGCGTTTCTCTTCTTCGGCTCTTGATCTACAGCAGGACGGGCCCGCAATCGACGCCCCGCCTCTGCGGGCAAGTGGCGCGGGTGGCGCGGATGCAGGGAATCCGCGCAGATCGCCAACAATTTATGCTCATGCCGTTTTAACTTCTTCGAACGTGCACGCCGCCGCATCCTAGACAGACCCGGAATGGTTCTAGAACATTGCAGGGCCAGCCTACAGGCAGACCGCGACGCGCCGCCGCTGCTCGAGCTGTCAGCGGGCGAAGAACGGTATAAAACGAACTGTTCCGTCGCGCGGGGCGCCTCTCCAGGGGCGGCTGGAAAGTCTATACCTTGACGTGCCACCGTAGGGGTATAGACTGCCCAGCCGCCCTGGAACAGGCGCCCCCGACGGCGAACAAGCTTATGTGATACCGTTCTTCGCCCGTTACACCTTTGCGCGCAGAGCGCGGGCCCGGCTCACGCCAGCCCCGGGCGGGCCGGCCGAGCACGGCGTACGGAGTACCGCGGGCTGGCGCCGAAGTGCGGGGCCTCCTCGCCGCCAGCCCGCGCGGGGCCGCCTGGGACACCGCTGGGCGCGGAGGGCCAGCGCTTCTTCCTCCTCCTCCTCCGCCTCCTCCTCCTCCGCCTCCTCCTCCTCCTCCTCGTTCTTCTCCTCCTCCTCCTCCTCCTCCTCCACCTCTTGCTCCTCCTCCGCCTCCTCCTCCTCCGCCTCCTCCTCCGCCTTCTCCTCCTCCTCCTCCTCCTCCTCCTCGTTTCTTCCTCCTCCTCCTCCTCCTCCTCCCTCCTCCTCCTCCACCTCTTGCTCCTCCTCCGCCTCCTCCGCCGCCTTCTCCTCCTCCTCCTCCCCTCCTCCGCCTCCTCCCTCTCCTCCTCCTCCGCCCTCCCTCCTCGCGCGCCTCGCGCGTCTCGCGCTCCTTTTCCTCCTCCTCCTCCTCCTCCTCCTCCTCCACCTCCTCCTCCTCCTCCTCCTCCTCCTCCATCTCCACCTCCGCCTCCTCCTCCTCTTCCCCTCCTCCTCCTCCTTCCCCTCCTCCTCCTCCTTCTCCTCTTTCTTCCTCTTTCTTCCTCCTCCTCCTCCTCCTCCTCATCCTCCTCCTCCTCGCTGGCGATGACGAGGAGGACGACGGCGGGCGTAGAGACGGAGGGAGCAGTGACGACGGACGTCTCCCCTGTGCCGAGGCGATGCGGCGGTCAAGCGGCGGAAGGAGGGAGAGAAGGAGGGGGCGGAGGACTTCTCGGCATTCTCGGCAACAGCCCGCAGGAGAACGCACGGGGTGCCCTCTGGTGGCGCAGCGCCGCCACGTCTGCCACCAGAGGGCAACCCTAAAACAAATCACCCGCACAGCCATACTCTGAAAGTGCCCACCGTTGCCAGTCTCTCTGTGACATGGGCCTCGCTGAGCACCTGCTGATCGGAACTTCGGGTGCTTCCACAGTGGAATCGCAGCCCAGACGATGATGGCCAGAGCTTTGCGGATTGCAAAAAGGATTTCAAGCACGGTCACGGCCGCATAGCTTTTGCCACAAATCACAAGCGTGGCAGATATGAGCATTCCGATTCCATGCAACTGTGACGACGCCTGACCAACAGGACATGGCCAACGTTGGAGTGCAGCGTGCATGCTCTAGGACGCGAGGTCTCACGAGCACCAACCTCCCCAGCAGGGAGGACAATTGGGCCCCTGACATCCTTGACAACACTTCGAGTAGGGGATCGACTACAGAAGTATGCACCCCAGAAGTCAGTTGCTTCGTCGAATATACGAAACATCTATAGAAGGCTCGTCGATCAACATAATAATCTTCGCATGTTCCGCAGATTCGACCGAAACATCATTTTAGGGGTGTGAATTCTGTACACTGGAGGCCAATCCACAACAAACCTTCCACAAGAGGCCCAACCCCGAGACCCAAGGACGTCCGTTGACTTCTGGCGTGGGAGCACCGCGCTTCTCACAGCAGAGCCCCCAAGACCCAGGAATAGGGGAACCAGAAGTGGCATACACATAAAAACTCGGAGGTCCGCGCGGACTTCTCGGATCGGCGCCGGAGGCGCCGCCGGGGGGCCCCGGCGCCGATGCGAGAAATCCGCGCGGACCTCCGAGTTTTTATGTCTATGTCACTTCTTGTGCCCCTAAGGACACCCAGGGCACCCCTCGCCATCGCTCGGACGTCAATTCCCTGTGTTTTTTTGGGTTTCGTGCGTGGTTTTTGCGCCAAATGGTCAAGGATGCTCCTCGATAGTCCTCGCCGAAAGAAAAATGCACGTCCGAGCGATGCCGAGCCAGGGCACCCTGGAGGCAAGCAGGGTGTCTCTTGGCACGGGCCTCCGCTCGCCGCGCGCTCCCCCGCCCGACCACTCGGCGGGGGGGCGCACGCCCGCCGTCCGGCAGCGCGCCTGCGGCCGCGCAGTGGGCCTGGAGACCTATCTCGCCTCCTCCTCCTCCTCCTCCTCCTCCTCCTCCTCCTCCTCCTCCTCCTCCTCCTCCTCCTCCTCCTCCTCCTCCCTCCCCCCTCCTCCTCCTCCTCCTCTCCTCCTCCTCCTCCTCCTCCTCCTCCTCCTCCCTCCTCCCTCCTCCTCCTCCTCCTCCTCCCCCTACCCCTACCCCTCCCTCCTCTCCTCCTCCTCCTCCTCCTCCTCCCTCCTCCTCCTCCTCCTCCACTTCGGCCTCGGCCTCCAGCCAGGGGGGCGCCCGACAAGTGTGCAGCCCGGGCCGCCTCGGGCCAGCACCTCGGCAGAAAGGCACGCAGCGCACGCACTCAAACCGCACTCAAGACTCCTGTCCATGAACCTTCGCTTCAGGAGTCGAGACCCAGCTTCGCTGAGATCTGGGGGGGTATCTAGGGGTGATCTGGAGGACTCTTTGGAAGAAGATCTGGCGGCAGACCCGGGCAAGGATCCAGAGGTTAAGAAATGGGGTCAGCTTGTTGGAATCCGGAATTGACATTCAAAAAAGTTTCAGACCCCGCTTGGCAGGGGGGCGTTTCTGAACAGAAGATGGTAGTACATGATGACCCCCGTGAGTCATGCGATTTCAGGATCCTGTCGATGCCGTGAGAAGGCATTATTCGGCAACGCAGGTCGGCGATGTCGTTCCCAACCGTGAGAACGCTGGGCCGTCGGTACGACCACTGGGCTCCGCCAAGAGGGCTTTGTCAAGTCAGAGCCCATCGACACATTTCAGATGGGCGTGTTGAGGGGGAAGGCGCCAGCGACAAGCCTCTTCTCCAGCATCCCACGAGATACGCAGAAGTGGGCTTGGGAGGTAATCGTGACTTTGCGCCACGTTGCTTAATGCATCATCTGGCGTCGAGGAACCTGGACCGAAGCAAGGCTCCTGAAGGTTGTTCCGCCCCTGGGCGTCTTCCCTGCCTCGTCAAAAGCCTTCGGGAGGGCCCGGGATTGTCCCGAACGGCCGCCTGGATACTCCCGAATGGCCGCCTGAGGCTGACAAGATGTCGCATGTCCCGTACCCTGCCTGGAGGGATGGGGAGAAAGCAGAACAAGCAAATGCTGAGAGGACGACATGCCAAACATGTACTGGGTGACGAGCCTGCTTGAGGCTGCAACGGAAGAGCAGGTGCCCAATGCACTGCCCCGATTATGATGCCCTCCCCATGCTCACGGAAAGAATCAGCAGTGGGCTGGCAAAGAGCAGCGAGGTGCAGGTCCACCTCGGTCGATCTCTGCGTGCATGCTGGCCGCCAGGGTGACGGGGCCCTGCCAAGCGCTCACTGCTCGAGAACGCGAGAAGCAGCAGAGGGAGGCGAGAAGCAGCAGAGGGAGGGCGCAGGTCGAACGTGCAGATGCTGGAGAGAGGGTGGGGCCTGGCTGAGCGACCGCGCCGCGCGAGCATGGGAAAGCCTGAGGGGGCGGTTGCCTAAAGTGCGGCATTGAGGCTGCTGACTCTGGATTATGTTGATCGTCTTTATGATAGCTATTGTTTATAATTATCAGTATTATTATTAGTATTAGTATTAGTAATATTATGATTGATATTATTATTATTAGTATTATTATTATTAGTAGTAGTAGTAGTAGTAGTAGTAGTAGTAGTAGTAGTAGTAGTAGTAGTCGTAGTAGTAGTAGTAGTAGTAGTAGTAGTAGTAGTAGTAGTAGTAGTAGTAGTAGTAGTAGTAGTAGTAGTAGTAGTGTGATGATGGTCATTAGTGCTATTCCTACTAACTTTCTTAGTATACTGATTAGTAGTAGTATTATTAGTTGTAGTATTAAAATAATTGGCATGATCAATATTTCAATGGGAAGTATTCTTGCTGTTCAATCTTGTTGGTATTCTTATTGCCTTGATTATTCTCAATATCTCTATTCTCATTCGTGCTACGACTATCATTATTGACGCCCCGACGGCGCCCGCAAACCGAACCGTCCTCCTTCCACGTGCGCCGCCTCCCGCGGATCCCTCCCGGAGGGGGCCCGCCGAGGGCGAGGGGGCCCCAGTGCTGCTGCCACGCTGCCCCCTCCAGGGGCGAGGCCCCCTCCTCGGGAGCGCGCCCGGGCACGCGCGCAGGCACGGGCGTCGCGACACTCCTCCTCCTCCTCCCTCCCTCCTCCTCCCTCCTCCTCCTCCTCCTCCTCCTCCTCCTCCTCCTCCTCCTCCTCCTCCTCCTCCTCCTCCTCCTCCTCCTCCTCCTCCCACGCCAAGCACCGGCGACTCGCAGCTCCATCCCCGAGCACTGCACAGCACGACAGCGCTGCTGCGCCGCGGAGTGTCCACCGACGGTGGTCGAGCCGCTTGCGCCCGCGTGCGGCGTGCTCCAGACGAGCCGCGGAGCACAAGGAGCACAAGGCGGGCACCACAAGGGGCGGGGCCCTCTCCTCGGACCGCTCCCGGGCACGAGCGCAAGCGCAGGCGACCCGAGAGGCATGTTGCTGCCATCGCACTTGAGGACCACAGCCCAGAACTCCTCTCGAGCACCCCGAGGAAGATCGAAGCAGTGTCGAGCGAGCATCGCCTCCCAGGGCCCGACGCGTGAGAACCTGAGAGGGGAGGGCCCGCCCCCCCCACACGAGGCCCGAGCTGCTGCCGGAAGCAGGCGGGCACTCGCACGCCAACCTGCGATGACGACGATGCTGGCGTGCGTGCGCAGACCTGAGCGCGCGCGTGCGCGCACGTGCTGCAGCGGGGGGCTGGGGACGCACGGCTGCGGGACGGCTGCCCAGCAGCGGGAGGAAGGGGAGGACGGGTCCATCCATGGCACGACGCCTCCTTGTCTAGACTCGCACCGCCGACGCCAAAATGAAGGACTGGAAGCAAGTCGGGGCCACGGCCGACACGCAAGAGACTAGTTACCCTCCCCCGGTGTCACCCTGGACATGACACCGTGCATGTCTATGTGTAGACACAAACATACATGTGTAAACAATTGTGTCTGTCCGTGTACGTATGTATTGTGCATGTGCGTATACATCGCGTGTGGGTCATTGTGTGATGGCGGCGGTGGTGGTCACGGGCGCCCAGGCGGGCAACGCGACTTAGAGAACGCATGGGTTTTTGAATGACAGCCGGGCCCCATTCTCGGCAAAAAGTGGCGCCCAACTTCGCGCGTCGCGCTGCGCGAAGCGCGAACAACTTCGCGCTCTCGCGCGTGCCCCCCTAGGGGAGAAGAGGAGGATGAGGAGGAATTGGAGCCGAACCGCGACGCGCGAATCACTTCGCGCCCTCGAGGGCGCCCTTGGCAAACACGCCAGCCGGCACGCAACCCAGTGGCAGACCCTGCCGAGGGAACCAGCCAGTCGGGGAGGGCTCCGTCCCTCGCGAGGGCCGACACTACTCGAAGGCCAGCACGCGTGTGTGGTAGGCGGGCCTCGTCCCAGGCAGGAGCCAGCTGACACGCAACCCGACGGCAAGTCTGGCAGAGGGGACCAGCCAGTCGGCGAGGGCCCTGTCCACGTGTGGATACAGTCAACCAGTAGAATAGGGACCCACCATAAGGATGCAAGGGCCTTGGAAGGCCATGCCGACCCTCTGCGAGCGGGGCGCGGCCAGCGAAAACGGCCAAGGATGGGCCCAAGGGGAAGGATGCAAGGGTAACCTCGGAAAGTTGCTCACCCGTGCTATGCGGGCTGGCCGTAGCTAGCCTGGTGGAGACAGCCCTGAAGATCTACAGGGTTGCGTGACAGGCGGGCTCGGAGACAAGGCCAGCTGGAGCCCCGGCCGCCCATCAAGTCTCACAGACGGGACCAGCCCGACTCGTGAGGCTCGTCACTCTCTTTGTCGCATACGGGTGCAGGAGCTCGCGCGCCATAAAACAACACAGGGGATGCAACGATGACGACAGCAAAATCCGCCGACCATGTTTCGGGGATCGAACGATTGCGCAAGATGTCCCAAAGGTGGCCCGGGAGACCCCAAGACGTCCCCCAAGCGGCCTCAACATGGCCAAAGAAGGCCCCAAACACTATGTTGCTCCCATCGTACTTAAGGGCCACATCCCCGAAATAATTTCGGTTAGCCAGGCAAGTGCCGAAACAGTGCCTGGTCGACGCGCGTGCGAAGTGTCGAACGAGTATCGCCTCCAAGGGCAGGACACGTGAAAACCCTCCAGTTTCGGCACTTCCTTTCTTCGGGCTCGAACTCTTTCTGGCGCTCAAAACTAAAGTAACCTCGAACATCATAACCTAAACATAGGAGTAGGTCGGGCGTCTCCCCCTGATAGGCGGAGTCTGAACGAAAAACAAAGCTACCCCTAAAATAATCAAAATGTCGAAACAGATCCTGAACAAATCTTCCCTTTTAAAAAAATGGTCATGAACATTCCTCCTGAAGAGGGTCAAGCCCGACTTAAACCTAAAACCGAGCCGTAATCTTACTCAGCCTAGGTGGCTGGCTGACTCAGACGGCGCAGCCCGTCCGCTATGTGCGCTCCCAACCTGCTGCGGCGCGGGCCGCGCGCAGCCGATTCCCCCATGCGTCGTTTGAGGCCTCCTAGATTGAAAGGGGTCCAGGGGCACACGTTCAACACACGCACGAGTACACACACACACACACGCACACACACACACACACACACGCACACACACACACACGCACCCACACGCACACGCACACAAACACAAACACACACACACACACGCACACACACACACACACACGCACAAACACACATACAGATAACAGGATTTCCTATAGTTGCCCATGTTTTCTGGATTATCGTCTTCCCCCCACTTTTTATATGTTCCCATACTTTCTTGGGAGTCGCCGATGAATTGTGTCTGTGTGTTCCTTTCCCTGCTGACAGATGGGGCCCGAGTAGATGGGGTTGAAGGATCGTGCCGCATGGCCGATGCATCGCCGATGCATCGGCGATGCGTCGGCGGCGTCGGCGCGGGGAAACGAATACCCACGTCGAGCCGCATCGCCGATGCATCGGCGATGCGGCGGGATCCCCCGGCCCCATCTGCTCGGGCCCCATCGAGGAGGCCTAGAGTCGACCCCTTCCGCCCGGGCTGGGTCGGCGGCGAGAGAGGGGGGGGAAGTGAGAGGGGGCGGGCCATTTCAGAAGGCTCGGAAGTCCCCAGGCCTTCTGAGAAGCGTTCTGCGCCTTCAACAAAAAACATAACACTTCTCGGAAGGCGCGGGGGCTTCTGAGAAGTCCCGCCGCCTTCCGGAAAAAACCCTTCGCCTTCTCGTTCCCCCACCCGTCGCTCGCCACCGACCTGCGCGTCCATCCCTCGCGCCCCGCGGTGGGTGCATTGGGGGGGCCGCCGACAGAGCACGGGGGGCGTGCAGACCTCGAGCGGTCGGGCTGGGCGGGCTGCGGGGAGCCAGAAGACACGGGGTCTGGCGGCTGCGAACCGTCAGCAAGCTAGACATCACCAGAACATGATCATCGGCCCCGGATCTAAAAGCAGCACCGTGCCCTTCACTATTCCCAGCAACCGCGTGCCTCCGGAACGACTTACTTCCCGCTCTGGCCCTGGCGTCTTGAAAGACTCTCGCGCCACATGCATAAACAGCCTCGAACTGATCCCCATCCCGAAGATGGGCGAGCAGAAAGCGAGAACACTCTCAGGGATGCGCCCTCTCGAATCCGAGGGAACCCTCAAGATCGGCATCGAAGCGAGGTGATGCCACACTAGAGGCCTCCTGGATGCGGTCGGAAGGCATGGGGTCGGAGAATCGGGACGCATCGGCGATGTATCGGCGATGCATCGGCGATGCAACGGCGATGCGTCGTCGACGTGGGCGATGCATCGGTGACGTCGACGTGAAGCAGACCGGGCTCCACATCGAGCCGCATCGGCGACGCATCGTCCACGCGGCGCAATCCTCCGACCCCGTCTACTCCGACCCCATCTAAAGGGCCTAGACAAACACTTTTCCCGTCAGCAGCGAGGCGGCGAAATCCGCTCCAGCGAAAAGCCGGATAGGGGCACGAACTAGCGAATTCGCAGGCGAGCAAAGAGGGGGCGCCTAGACAAACACACTGGTGGGGATGTGCTTCAAACTGGTAAAACTGCAGCTCCGTCGCGCGCGCACGCGGGGCGCGGGGAGGCTGCCAGGGGCGACGGCCGGAACCACCAAGAAACAACAACAACAACAACAACAACAACAACAACAACAACAACAACAACAACAACAACAACAACAACAACAACAACAATAATAACAACAACAACAACAACAACAACAACTACAACAACAACAACGACAACGACAGCAACAACAACAACAACAGCAGCAACAGCAACAACAACAACAACAACAGCAACAACAACAACAACAACAACAACAACAACTACAACAACAACAACAACAACAACAACAACGACAACGACAACAACAACAACAACAACAACAACAACAACAACGACAACAACAACAGCAGCAGCAACAACAACAACAACCACAACAACAACAACGACACCAACAACAACAACAACAACAACAACAACAACAACAAACAACGCAACCCCGTTGGAACGCGGCGCGCGGCCTCGCGTCGTGGGGCTGCTGGTGGCACTGGGAAACAACTTCTTCGAAAGCGGCGAGCGCAGCGGCGAGGTCCGCACCAGCGCGACAGTCAGGTAGGGGCACGAGCTAGCGAAGTGGCTGGCGCGCAAGGAGGGCAAGGGGGAGGCCGACGAGGGAAGGAGGGACGCTCGGACGCCGAAAAATTCGACGATGAGCAGCCGGCGGGCGGCAGCAGCCAAGCGCGCCGGGCCCGAGCGCGGTGGGCGACCGTGGCGAAGCACACATACCGGGACGCAACACATCGAAACAAAAAAGACAGAATCGCAACTGTTGCAGTGGAGGCTCGTCCACAAGAGACCTTCCACATGAAATCCGGCTTTGAGACCCCAGGACGCCCACTGATTTTTGGTGTGGGAACGTTACGTTTTCCATCGCAAAGCCATCGAAGCCCAAGCGACCCGTGCCCTGGAACCACGCAGGGTGTTTCTTGGCATGGGCCTCCACGGCAAACCAAACAACAAAACAAGCAGACAGTCAAAACATCAACGGCAAACATGTCCGGTAGTGCCCGCAGCGTCCGACTAAAGCCCTTGATTCAACACTTCCAGCATCTCTTCCGTGGGGCGCGAATGTGCTGGCGGCATAAAGAAGCCAGGCCCCGCCTCCCCGACCCCCCGCGGCTGCACGACCGCCCAACGGCCCCCAGACGGGTCACATAACTGCCCACGACTGTACCAAGACGGCTGTACACTGTCCCAAATTGAACCGAAGACGGCCCAGCGACACCCCAGAAAGCCTACTATGCTCCTCAGACCCCCCAACAACAAAATAACACCAACATCTCACCTTGCCCTCAAAAGGAGCTTCCAACGATGCCGTGGGCAGCACACGCGACAGTGGACACCACTTTTTCCGTCCGCGGCGAGGCGGCGAACTCCGCCCCAGCGAGAAGCTAGAAAAGGGGCACCTTAGCGAATTGGCCAGCAGGCAAAGAGGGGGGGGGCTCGCCATCGCTCGGACGTCCATTCCCTGTGTTTTTTTTGGTTTCGTGCGTGGTTTTTTCGGCAAATGGTCAAGGATGCTCCTCGATGGTCCTCGCCGAGGAAAAAACGCACACGTCGGAGCGATGCCAAGGGGGGGGGGCGGCCGAGAGGAAGAAGGGAGGGACGCGCGGACGCCGAAGAGCTCGGCGATGAGCCGCCAGAGGGGGCAGCAGCAGCAGCCGGGCACGCCGGGCCAGGGCGCGGCGGGCGGCCGTGGGGCACTTGACAACACAGTTGGCGTCTGGTACTGTTGCTCATCGGGTCTACCGGCTTCAGATCATTTCGGACCAGCCCCCGGGGGGCCCACGAGGCCCCGGATTTACCCGGATTTACCCGATTTACCGGATTTGCCTGAATTTACTTGGACCTACCCGGATTTACCTCGATGTACCTGGATATACCTCGACTTATCTGCAGCTATCTGGATTTATCTGGCTCGATCCCCACAAGTCGATTGTCGAAAAGTCGACAAGCCCTTAAGGATAGGGTCACATCAAACAAAGGATATCGACGATACGCGTCCTCGGGGACTGTATTTACGACAGCAAGCAGCAACGTGGACCCCCGCATCGCAAAGATCATGATGACAAGCTCGGCCCCCTTCAAACCTGATGTCAGAGTACTAGAGGAAGAAGGGGGCTGCGTCAGTAGACATATAAGATGTAAGTTCTCATGCCCGAAAAGTCGGGTCCTGGAGCATACTGCGGCTCTTCTTCAAGCGGCTCAGAACACATGTAAAACAAGAGACGCGACGAGAGATCTCGACCCATGCTTGCGGCGCGTTGATCCTCCCAGACGGATCCGTGAGGACACTCGGGCTGAGAAACGGGTCGAAAGGACCTGTCGCGATTCACTCGCGACGCCCGGATCTGAAAGAACTCCTTCCTGAAGTCCGATGTTCGTCCAGCATTCTGGCCCCACGCGGCCCTCCAGCGCTCTCTGGGACGCCCCCGGTCGCCCCCGAACGCCTCCAGGCCTCGGCGCGGCCGGTGGAAACACACACACACACACACACGCACGCACGCACGCACGCACGCACGCACGCACGCACACGCCGAAGCCCCGAACAAAGCCACAGGAGCCGCACCGAGCGCCACCAAGTCCAACAACAAATCTCGACGGCGAAGAGACGACGACGCCGACGACGCCGCCGCCGGCGGCGGCGCCGCCTTCGGCGCGCCCCGCTGCAGGTCGCCCTCCGCCCCGAGCGCCGGCCGCAGAGGTGCCCCGTGCGGCGCCCCGATCGGCAGGGTGACCTCTGCCCGCCGACGTCGCCGCCGGCAGGCGCCGTCGGCCGCACGCTCGTCGCCGCCGTCGGCAGGCGGGCCCGCCGCCGTGGGGCGGCGAAACCTCTACACGTCCACGGCTCCCCTGGCCAGGCCCACCCTGAACCCAGCAGCAGCGCATGCGCCATGCCCTCCTGGCCAGAGGGCGCATAGGCGCATGCACGGCTCCTGGGTCCACGGCTCCTGGGTCCACGGCGGGCCTGGCCAGGGAGCAGTGGACGTGTAGAGACTCCGTCGCCCGACGTTGGGCGTCGGCAGTCAGGCCTGCGCTGGATCGAACCGCGAAGCCAGATCGGATCGGAAACGGACCAGGCCTCGCCCGAGTCGGCGTGGAGTCGGATCGGGGCCTGGTCGCCTGCGACGAGCTCAGCCCCTGCAGGCCGGAAGGGGAGTCGGCTCGTGGCGGACCAGATCGGATCGGAGTCGAAATCCGGGGTCGGATCGATCGAATCGGACCGCGCAGCCGTGGCAGCGCACATCCCCAGCTGAGCCATCGACGCCCGTATCTTGGTCGACACTCGCGTTCCCGGGGTCGCCCAAATTCGCGCTTCGCACCGCGCGGAATGCGGCACGCGAATATAGTCGCACCCCTGCGGGTCACCTACGACGCCCAGTTAATCATTGTTCGCCTACTGCTGCTACTCCTACTAAACCTACTACGCTGAACAATACTACTACCCAATGGGACCAAATCTACTTGTTGGGGCGTTACTCTGTGGCCCTGTAGGCTTGCCGCCTCCAGTCACCTAGGCGTGCACATTATGTATGTTGGCTGGCGTGCGCATGCTGTACGTTGGCAGCCTGGGACGCTCTGGAGCGTCCTGCGGCCTCGTGGGCTTACCCACGGCCTCCTGGGGTGTCTGTCCTGAAGTCCGCTGGAGCTCCCTGGGGCCTCCTGAAGCCTC